CGCGCTCTCCGCCAGCGACCACAACCAGAACAGGATTGTGGTCGTTGGGACGTCCTCGGCCACCTGCATGACGTCCTCGGTGAGCATTTAAATGAGAGCTTCATCACTAATCTAAGTGCTGATGGTGGGGAGATCATCATCGGTCCTAGTCTGGTTCCTAGAGATATTTCGCTGAGGGGTCTGAAGTAGGCTGCAAACGTCTGCTGGGGGTCTAATAGGTCTGGGTGGTCTATATCCGCCTGTAATAGGCTCGCGTGGTTTATATCAGCCTGTAAAGTGTCCGAATGGTCTGTTAAAGTCAGAGATACTGCCGGATAGTCTCTACCCGTGTCTTTAATAAAACTTGGGACTATCGGTATGTCTGGATTACCTCTGGTGTGTGGTAGGGCCTTGTTGGGGTGGCACTTTGCAACGTGGATGGTGATCAACCCGAGCTTATGGTACTTTCAGGCAGGAACTTAGGCTGTGAATTTGGTTTACATGGAATCGATGATTTATCTTGGTCTCGTTTTTGTTGCAGAGCGACCCCTCCGTCGCTAATGGCAATGTCAACGGCAACGTCGTCGTCAACGGCAATGCCACCGTCAACGGCAAATCCAGCCAAGTCTCTGCGACGTCCAAGGCTGGTCCCGGCGGAGCCTCCTCCAAGCAAAACGAGAGAGAGCTGAAGAATTCGGACTCCGGCGTGGAATCCAATTCCGGGAGCCGGCAAAAGCCCGGCAAAGAGACGAGCCAGGAATCGATCGGCGCCGAAAGGAAATCCGAGGCGGCCGATGTCGTCGCCGGTGAGTGGAATTAAACTTTTAAAATTGTTCGCCACTTTTCCATTGGGAGTTCCGCAGGAGGTTCGGGAGCATCGGAACGCTCCTCGGCACGAATACTTGAATTAGGAATTCAAGATTCGGAACTTCACCTAGGAGAAAGTGGAAAATCACTCCTTGTTGACGTTGTTGGTGGGACAACAGTGGTGCAATGTTCTCTTTGGTCCTTTTCTTCTTTTTTTTCCTTTCTAAAAGGTTGGAGGAAGTCCTTAGGCCAGAGCATCAACTCCGTTGGTGGTTGGCCAGCTGCGGCCATGACTTCCTTCACTTTTGGAAAGGCGATTTGCGAGTCAAACGAGGCCGGCCGATCGATTCTACTGCCGGACACGAAAAACACCCTTACCGGCATAAATTAGCGTCGCATTAACTGCAACCCCCGGAGGAAAAAACCTCGATTGCTCCCCGGGAAGTGACTCCCGATTGAATTAAGCCTCGGCCAAAAAAAGCACCGGCTCTGAGTGGCTCGATGGACGCGTCTTCATCCAACTAAGTCGATCGAGAAAGTTTAATGCGTTTCCTAATTCGCCTTGGAATTATAGCCGAGATACCTAAACTAAAAAGTATTTAACACCTCCCGACCATATTAGATCCGGAACTTACGAATAAGTTTTCGCCCGCGCTGATCCTATCGACATTGGACCCTGTCCAATTCAAAGATTGAAAACTCTGGCCTAAAAATGTGCGGAGTGGAACTCAAGACCATATTTCCCGGGAGCAAGCTGCCGACGTTTTGCAGGATTCGGTCCGTCACTTCTTTGTCGATCTTTCATTATTCCATCCCTCGGATAGTCAATCGTCTCCCTCCAACCTCCTAAAAAGTTCTAACCAGATTTTATATCGCGTTATCCTCGACTTTTTGGAAATCTCGTGTCTTAAAGAATCCTGCCTTTTTTTGGTTGCGGAAAATTATGCAATAAAATAAGTACCCAGTCGAGGGTGCGATTAAATTCGGCGGAAATACCGGGGACACGTTATGTGTCGTGCCGCCGCGTGCTTTATAATAACAGGGAATCCCTCAAAGCAGGGAAGAAAAAGGGAGAGAAGAAAGTAGCCGAGTCGTCCGGTGCAATTTCAAGTTCCGGCAATATCCGCCAGGGCGGCAGCCCTGTGCCCCAGTGGATGGTCGGAGTACATGACCCGGGTACATAGATGGCGGCATGTACGCGGAGGCACATAGCGGCGTCCCGTTTTATCCTGGGCCGAGTCCCTAGGTCCTGTCCTGCTCTATCCGATTGCCGGTGACTAGACTGGGTATCGACCCCGGCCTGGTCCTGGAGACTCGTCTTCTTTCTCGTCCTTCCAGGGATCCGCTTCAGGGTCCAGGCTGACCGAGTGTCCTCCTCTAATTCGAGAATCCCTTCGACAGAGAAAGGAATCGATAGACGGATTCTCCCCCGAAAGGACCTCCCCATTAAATCCAGAGTCGATTGGACAATTAACCAGCTCCAATCCGGCGACTCCACTTCAAGCTTTCGGACGTTGGACCTTTTTCATATCACCGATCACCCGATCATGATCGACTTTTCCCCGGATAAGACCTCATTTTGAACCAGGAAAGGCAGATGCGCTGGTCAGCTATGTCCTAATCCCTTTATCAGGGGATCGGTTGATTAGGAACCGACATGGTCACCGATTCCCTGGGTGGTCTGAAGTGGTCCCTGGCCGCTAAAAGGATTTTAAGAGTCGAGCAGGACCATCGCCGACCCCTACTCGTGTAGGGCTGCCAATCCCTATCGATTGACTTGGACATTGTCGCCAGCCCTCGTGAATGTCAATGGCTAGACGAGTATGAGTGTCCTTTCGGCCTCTTGGAGATTTGTAACTAGGCTAGGGTAACTAGGGTCCTTAGGATGGGTCTCGAAGGACTCCTCCCCGTAGCGAGAATCATCCATCGGTCTTGCCTCCTCTTTCGTAAAAACGGGAAATCCCCCGGCAGGAGGCGGATAAAAATCGAGGAGGAAACGAGAGTCTACTCGAAGACGAAGAAAAAAACCGGATTCGAGAACGAAGAAAGGGGCAGGGCGCCGAAGAACTAGTTGGACACGAGCCTCTGCCAACGTTCTATTTAAAGACGAAAGGAGGGTTGGAGCCGGCTCGCCGGTAATTTACGAGCTTACACCGAAAAAGTTGGACACCTTGGGGATGGCTCCGCGCTTTGACACGTGACCCAGTTTTATCGGGTTATGTATATGTCTATATGTATACGCGCGTATATACATAATTGATCGTTACACGCTCGCCCAAGCGGAAACCCAACGGGGCGGCCGGGCACGCGAACGGAGGAGTCGCCACTTCCGTTTGACAAAGAATTAAAAGAAAAAATCGCACGTCAACGTACATCATGACTTATGCATCAGATGGACCGACACGCGAGCAGGAGCCAGCACTTCCAGCCGACGAGAAGACGGAATGAAAAACTCGGCGTTTTGGAAAAAAGAAAAAAAGAAAATGTAGACCCACTCGAAGTGCCAAGATCAAATAAACTGGACTACATTCCAGTGGAGAAGGATCGAAATTCATTATCGCCGTCGTTTTGCCCGACCGCGGTTGTGTGGGTGTGGGGATGTGTGTGGATCCAAGATCACACACGCGAGCTGGGCGATGTGGGTGCGAGAGGGTTGGGTGAAAGTGCAGGGGGGTGTTGGTGGCTTCGCCAAGTCGGTGTGTGTGGGACCCACCACTCGCCACCCTCTAACCACCCATCGACGATATACGCACTTGAGGGGGTTGCACGCGAGCAGTGTGCCTCCTAATGTGTGAGTGGGACACGCCGTGCCGCCAGCAGTGCACAGAGTGGCCCAGAAATTCGGCAGAATTTTGTACATCCACCCACCCGTCCGATACGTTACCAACCACACTCCCACGCCACATTAACGCCGCCGGATTGACCGTGGCTGTGGATTTCCAAGCTCTGCTTGGCGATCCCCTTTATGAGCGTGAATAATTTCAAGATCCTGGATTTAGGTACCCACGTTATCCGGTATTCCGGGTACCACCCCCCACCTCGTCGATATTACACGAAGTAGCGCAGCATTACGTGAGAAACGTGACCGAACCCGGGCGACATCGCGATACTCCGGCGCCGCGTGCAAATGGGATTCGTATTTTGCTGCCATGTTCCCCGCCGTGTAAACTGCCGGTCCGTGCCACACTTCTCGTCTAGCCTAGAAATTGACGGTACATGGAAGATCCGGAGGGCCGACGTCCAACCCCACAGCACATCGTTCATCAGGAACCTCACATCGGGTCTTAGGAGAATCCCTCTCGAATGCAGTACCGTCACCACCGGGTGGAACGCATCAGGGTGGACCACCCACACGGAAACGTGTGGTGGACTTCTTTCTTATGAACGTCGATTTAAGTAATACTCGGGGTTATCAAGGACGTTTCCTTGGGTGCTTCTTTAGGAACCCATCCTGGGAGACCCTGAGAGGGGCGAGTGGGGTTTTCGGAACACCCCGTGCACACCCGATACCGGAGCGCCGAGGCCGGTGGGGATTCGGAGCCTAGGGTTCTGGAGGGGATACAAGCCAGGGCGGGCTGTGGCTGGGCTGGAAGCGGCGGCTTCGGGGGTTGGCAGACCTGGCGGAGTGGGGTGCCTCGGGGCCGAGGGTCAAAGGGGTCGGGAATCGCGGGTCGGCTCACTCTGCGGCTCCCGCCGCTCGGGAGCAGACACGCGGGGCCAAAGACACCCATTCACAACTATTTTGTTAAGGAAACCAGAAAACTCTACCTGTACATACTCACACACACACTCGCGACAACACACCCTCACACTCTGCCACACGTGCACACACCACACACGCGCTCACGGCTGATCTCCGTCGACGTTACCAAGGCGTGCGCTGTCGAAGAGGGGAGGTTGACGAACAGCCGTCGATGGACCCCAATTTGGGAAAGTTCCGGCGAACCTGGGCAAGGAAGCTGGTCGACGATCGACCGAGAAGGCCAGCGGGTGCGCCAACCACGCCAATGTGAAGGATACCTAACGTCAAAGCGCCTTTTGTTTCTATACGTGTGACCCTTACATTATTTTGTCCCCTCGACGGGACGGGTTCAGTGTTGTAACTTAGGATATAAGGGGAACGGAGTTCCGGAGCGCACAAAAGGGACGGAGGTGATACGTCGGAAGAAGGTTCTGGTGAACAAGGATCACGGAGTTGAAGATATCTAAGAGGATCCAGAAGAAAGGGGCTCCTGAAGAGGATTCGGCTGATGAAGACTGGAGCTACAAAAAGGTCCAGGATTTAGGACGCACGTGGACCTCGTCGAGATCTGGTTCCATTTAAAGATCCAAGGAACTGAATTGTTGTGGTTCGGGGAAAAGGTTCCTGGGAGGATTTATCAAGTGGAGTGCCTCCACACAGGAGCTAGGCTGGTCCGGACTTCTTTGTCAGGAAGTTTGGACGCTCAAGTAGGACCATCGTCTGTTCAACGGTTAGGACCTCGTTTCTCTTTAATTGTCCGCGCGTAAGGACTCGGCTCTCTCGTGGATCTCAAAGGAGAGGATTCCGTTTCTTTTTAGCAGTTCGCGAGGTTAATGAGTACCAGTTGGATGGGATGCACACAGGACTCGGTCCAACCCGGGAGAACCTGGTCCATGAGGTTTGGAAGCTCGACGTGGACGAAGACCGCCAAGGCCAAGAGCTAGGCTTCCGTTTAATCCTACATCGCTTATAAAATTTATGGCTGGTGGAAGAACGTCCTTAAACGTTGTCGAGTGCGTGCACTTAGTACGTCAAGGCTCTTAAGAGCTCTAATAAAAAAAAAAAACAATTAGGAGAACTGTAATCATTGTTTTTTTTTTACACAAAATCGTTGTAACTGAAAGAAGGCTCCAGCTGATGTGTCGATGAAGAACGCAGGAACTAGGAAGTCTTTCCACTGAGTTAAAAATTGTGAAAGTCCTGGATCGTCAGGATCAGGGACAGGATCCTTAGTTCAGGCTCCCTGCAACTGGAGAAGACTGGCTTGCGGTTATCCAGGGAGTTGAAGTTTGGTCCAGGGAAGAAGACATCTTGGGGATGTCCTGCCGTCCCAATCGCGCAGGTTCTCCAACTATCCCTTCGGTTGGAAGCCACTCGGCGACCTTTATCTTCGTTGTCCAGAAGCCCAACACCAAAGTGTCCTGACACGGGCAGATCCCGCGATCACCGGGTCCCTCTTTGTATCCACTCTTCGTGTCGAGAGATCCCCTTCTGGAAGTCCTTTTCCGGTTGGCAGACGCCGAACCATCGCTGGAACCTCATCAACCCTTTCGTCAACCTCGGATCCTGGACAATCGGTCGCAGGATCGCGAGCCACCTTTTATAACTCAACGAACCACTGCTCTCCGAAAGATAATACCCAGGACATTCGTGTTCCAAGTTCGCCAGCGATTTCGAGTCCTTCCGACAATCCAAGAACCACGTTTCCCGGAGGATCCTCCAGCTCGAAGACGATCGACTTTCAGACAGAAGTCGATCCGTGGCTGCGGACCGCCATCCTAATTTGGAGGCTCTCTTCAACTTCCAGCTCTTCAGACCAAACGAGAAGAGTCCCTGGTTCTTCTCTGGACAGTACTCCCTCGGATTTGGGACACCTGAACACCCCTCACCTCCAAATTAGGAAGAACGTAACGAGTCGTCATCCACGTTTCCTTGGTTCCCAAGGGAAGTCGTTCGTCCTGAAATTCCTGGCTCTAACAAGGATCTCGTATCCCGGACGTGATCTCTCCAGAACTTGACTTGGATTTACTGGCTGGTTCTTCATCGAGGAAGCTGCCGAACGAAGATCAGCTCCCAGGATAAATCCGGCGTTTCTTGACGTCTGCTTCTTCCTACTGGAGTCCACTTTTCCGGGGCATCCCCTCGACCTGCCGTCCGTATTTTGCATCTTATCGGGGGTCCTTGCTCAGGAAAATGTGAACCGTCCTCGTCTTCGCCTCGTCTCGTCCCTCTTCGTGGCCTCTCTTCTCGCCGCCTCTGTCTCACTTGACCTCACCTCGGAAGAAATGATAGGCAGCCCTTGCTAATCGAACGGTCCCTCTGTTATCACCAAGTGAGCGGATTATCATGGCGGGGTACGATCACGCGAGTCAACAGCGCGTTGTTTACCATGCAACTTATCCAACACCACTTGCACCAAGTGAGTCCTTGCCGAGTAATTTCAACTATTGGGTACTCTGAGTGTAACGATTAACTAATTACGATCACGACGTTAATTTATCACGATTTAGGATAATTCGGGAGCGAAGATTTTTCCCATTGGGCCTTGCGGTGAAAATATGAAAAGTCTGGGATTCCGATTTCTATCGCCGTTTAAGAAAAATCCGATATCCCTCGGGGTGAGGCCTCGCTGTCGATTCGTCGGCAAAATTATCCCCGGGCAATTTAACGCACGTCTCTTGCCGAATTCCGGAGTAGGGTTGACCCAGTTTCAGCGGCACGACCGATTGTTAAAATTTCACAGAGTGTGACTCCCCTGGTCGCCGGTTGGCAGCGGAGCTTCCTCCGAAACTGGGTTGGCAGTCCCATAACTTTTGCCCCACGTACGACGTATCAATTTTCCCCGAGTTCTTTTCCGCGCGTTAATTCCGCCGCTTCGACGTGATTTTCCACCCCGGGGCCCGTGATTAATGTTAACAATTAATTCCCCAAACTTTTCGCATTTCCAAGCGCGGAGAGACCGAACTGAAATTCACCCAGCCGGAGGGTGGGAGCATTTCGCCCCCTATATTTGAAGATTTATCAATGAAAACTTTGATTCGCACATTGGATTAATATGTAAAATTCTCTCTTCTGTTGCTGTAGATGGAGACCCGATTAAGCTACCCGAGAATCTGGAAACGTTACCACGAGCCGAGCACTTCCCTACCCAAAGGCATCGATGGAACACCAACGAGGTGAGCAGCATTCCGCCATCTTGGTTTATTCTTAAGCCGAGCATTAGGCCAACTTCCGGGCGATAAAAACCGGAGTACATGCCCAGTTGCACCGTTTCCGGTATCTGTTCATCCGAGCCGAAGAGCTGGCCCTTCCCTCGGAGGTCTAGTTTCACGGGGACGGGAACCTAGTCTACGATGCTCAGGAGGCCGCGCGGGGACGTTTCCGCAACGCTACATTCCCAGCGGTGCGCCGAGGTGAAAAGAGCGGAAGGAATTATTGGAATTCGCCGCGGTAGCGATTTTTCGTTTCCCTTGTCTGGTTTAGGTCTCCTCTTTTTTCTCTACCTCCCCTCTTTCCGCTCTTTTCAGGGCCGTGCGGCTTTTTCCCAGGCGGCCGCTTTATTAGGATGCCGCCAGATAGCGCGGAAGAGCGGCCATTTCGCGCGGTAGCTACCAAACCTGACCATAGCTACAGTAGTTTCCGCGGTTTTGCGGTCCTCACCAATGGCGAGGGTATCTTCGTCCACGCTCTCGAAAAATGTCCGTATCCAATATCCAAAGCAATTCGTTTCTTCGTTCGCTTCTCCCTAATGGCCCAGAGCGCGTAAATTCAATTCCTCGCGTAATTCTTGATTATTGGACACCTTCGATTGTTTTAGAGGTTATGTTATTTATTTTATAAATTATATACCAATCTGTAGGTCCGAGAAGGGATGTTTCCGTTGGAGCCGGCGCTGGTTGGCCGATCCAGGGGAAAACAGATGCGCCGGGCGACACGGGGCCACGGCACACACGTGGCCGTTTTCATGTGTGTGCGCTCCTCTACATTCTCACATGCACAGTCTATGGCAATGTAGTCCGCGCCGCTATTCTGACCCCGCTTGGCCTCCGATCAATAGCCGGAGCGACCGAGCGCTCGCCCGAGTTGACTGGAGAGTTCAGCTAAGCTCGAGCCCTTCCGACACCAGCTGCGGAGCCGAATAGTCCAATTTTCTCGCCCTTCAGCTCGAAAGCAGAATTTCCCTGCGCGGTCTCGCCTCTAGGTCGCACGCGTGCCGGAGCGAGGGAGAAGAACGCGACCGTGGCGCCGCCATCGGGCAAACCCGAGAAGAACCGCGGGTACTTATCAGGCGCGCGAACAGCGTTCTTATCTGAACTAAACTTCAACTACTAAAAATAATATTTACCACGGCATTTCGATCGAGCGCGTCTTATCCCATTTTCTGAATGTTTAATCTTGAGACTGAGTTCCGCGACAAGTGCAAGACGCAGGCACGTGGCAGCCGCCCGAGTGTCTTTTCGACGGGGATGGATAAGTTCGTCTTAGAGGCTCGATTTCCATGGATTGAACGAGGCGGAGAGGCGGTTTCCGCATTTTCGGTCTTTCTCGCCCCCCCAATTTTTTCCCAAGGTTTAATCTTGAAACTGAGTTCCGCGACAAGTGCAAGACGCAGGCACGTGGCAGCCGCCCGAGTGTCTTTTCGACGGGGATGGATAAGTTCGCCTTAGAGGCTCGTTTGCCATGGATTGGACGAGGCGGAGAGACAAAGTCTCCGGATTTTCGGCCTTTCTCGCCCCCCCAATTTTTTCCCAATCAAAGTAATCGGCCGATCGACTCGGGTTCTGATCAGATTGGAGGATTTACTTCCGAGCGGAATACGCGGCGTGTATCTTGGCACGGGCTTAATCGGATAAAGGGGGTCGTCCCGGGCATTTTGAGGGTTGCAGCACTTGACAGGGGGTGGAGAGGGACTGCTCTCTCTCCCTCCCCCCCTCGGAATTCTCCCACCCCTTTCGCGGCGTTTCTTTTTCACCCCCGACTCGGCGGAATCGTTTAATTGCCGCGTCCCGGGCAAAGGCGGAAGTTGTTCCCGGAAGTTCGGTTAAACGTACGTCCGCAGATCCGCCGCCGGCAAATTAGGGCTCTTCCGTTGGCTGGCTGTGCGCCCTCCGAGAAACCACCCCCTTTCCCTCCCACCGAGAGGCCTTTTATTTCGCCGACTGTTTCGCTCCGCGCGACCTCGCGCGAACGCTTTTTCGCCCCCTCGTAAATCTCTCGAATTTCATCCGACCCCAAGCCAACTTCCAAAGGCGATGCAATGTGTCTTTCGACTACCCGGAGATTCCCCAAGGATTTCTCCCGCGTAATTATATATATATAAAAAAAAAGTAAAAAATAGTAACGTCCCTTTAATCGAGACCGTGGAAATCCACCCTCTACCTCTTTCGATATATAAATTCCAGCCGTGGAAACGGGTATACTTAATCGCGCTCTCCAGAACTCCCCGTTAATTCCATCGATCTGGCCCCCTTCTCGGCCTGTTTTTCCCTCACATTCTGCCCTGATAGCTCCTCTTTATTCGCATTAGCGTGTTGCCTGATCAGGTGCCATTTATACCGGCGATATTGCACCGGCGAGTGCATGCAACCGGACCGAGGATTATTTTCGGCTCCGGTGCCGTGGATACGGCCGAGCTTTTTCACCGGGCCTGGTTTCACCTTTTCTACACCCTCCAACCTGTATCAGAAATTCCACCCTGTTCCCGGTCGACGTAAAATCGAAACGTTCATCGCGAAATTACTCTCCCACCCCTTCATGGTGTGCACTTTGCATTCCCCCTTAATGCTGCCCGCGCCGTTTACAAGGCCTCGCGTTTTGTCAGTCCTACGTCCACAGTTCTTAGGAATCCACCTCCCTTACTCTGCCCTCGCTTTTGCTACCTCCCTTATTTTTTTTTTATTCCACTTTTCTTCTTTTTTTTTTCCTCACTTATCGCCTCACCGATCGACCCGGAAATCGTTCCACTGGCAATCACGCTCGCGAGTGCGCTCGTTACCGTTTAATCGACGGTGCAACGAACTCGCCCGGTCGATGCTTAAGGTGCGATTCCGCAGGGCGGAAACGATCGAGTGCCAGGAAACGATCTTCCCTGGGTCGGATGCGCCGGCACGGATTTCGTGGTCCTCTTCAGGTTCCCCTCTTCGCACCGTATCGCCGACGTCGGCGATAAAAACCACCGCGATAAGACCCCACGAGGGCCGACTCGCGAAGTGGATTCGGCGATTCATGATCAGACTTCGAGATTTCATCTGAAATAAATTTCTATACGAGGGACAAAAAATTATATATATCATGAACATACATAAACATGATCTGACTTCGAGAGTTCATGTAAAATAAATTTCTATACAGGGGAAAAAAAGTCGATCGGAACCTTAATTTGTTAATAAACCCTTCTGGGTTTATCCTCATTTCTAAATTTGCAGAGCAACTGAATAGCAATAATCCCCCATGCTGATTTTTTTTTTAATTGCGGTTGTTTCCTCATTTTTATCTAATTTCCTTGACGACCTGGCAATACCCACGGTATTTTTTTTTTTAACAGCTCGAGCAAGAGACTCTTTTAATCGGGGAACTAATTAGCTACAAAGGAGTTATTAATTTCATTCCTATGTTTCATTTCATTGGGATAAAGTGTTCGTGGAAGCTCAGCAGGAATTCCCTCGATTTTCTCGAAATATGAAATTAGTGTTAACCCCGTTTGCGTCGAAGCGACGTTTGTCATTTACGCCCCGCTGGAGCGCGAAGTCCTTTTTGCTTGTCAAATTTATATCCGCGAATCGGTGAGAGATGCAAGGGTAGCAGATTACAATGAACATAACTGTGACAAAATTGCGCAGATCGATACGCGGAGCTGTGTCCAAAAAGTAAGCCGCGATAAGCCACGTAACCTGGTCTAGGGCGAACCTGGCGGAGTTTATCGGAATCGTGAGCTGGTTTTGTCATTAACAAATGATTAATGTACAGAACTGGGAGGTTCGTATTTGCGAAGACGAGGGAAAATCTTCTCGAAGAGCCTTGGGAGGGGCGGGACAGATCTTGAGGGTGGTTCACCCTAGGGGAATATTTTTTATCCGAGCACCGTACGACCCGCAAGTGCATACGGACATAGGGCCATGAAATATTGATATCGAGAGACGCTCCTCAGAGTAGAGGCCCTCCATTCAGGATCCATTATTCGGTCGGCTACAAAAGGGGTCTCGGAAATTGGCTAATTTTTTCCTGGGGAACGACGAGGGGCCGCCGGTAGAAAAAGCAAGCTGGAACCATCGGGAATTTTTATTTATCGGCAAATTGAACGTCTTCATTTGCTGTTTATCATTCTTGGTTAAACCCGCACTTAGGGACGTCTTCTTGAAGGAGGAATAGAATTTCTTCCGTCGTCGTTCTTCCTGCCGTGGCGTTTGACGAATGCGAGGGAGGAAGGAAACGTGTCGTTAGGTGTTCCTGTAATTTCTACATTACATACAGTGACCAGTGTAAGACTCCCGGTAATATTTATTGGGGAGCCTACTTCTTTTTACTTCGCTACGTGGTATAATTCCTCGGGCAATTAGGATGATTTACATCGACTGGGCACGAAGGAGGGAAGAAACTCCTCGAAATGCGTTCGGACCACGGAAGATCGATGCAGGGGGCAAACGGCGGAGTGTCTCACCAGAAACCCTAGGGAATATTTCCCGTCGATTGTCACTAGGTCGCGCAGTTGGCGTACCCAGCTCGGTGCTTTGGATCGATTTATCGATCCTCTCACCCCGTAAATCATCCGAGACACGTAGTTTCCTCGCCTGGATATTCCGGAAAAGGAGACGTCTTCGGCGGATCCGTTTGCCGGAAACGTGGACTGTGTATATTTGCGAGTCCTCATCCCTTAATGCGCTTCATTTTTATTTAAGCCGTAGATTTGAGAAAATTCCTATATAATCCAAAATCGTATCCAACGTTTGCGAGAAATCGGACCCGGTACTTCGAGAGGCCTTTAATAGCGAATCCGGAAATGGACCCTGAATATCGGGAAACCCCTCCACCCTTTATTTATTTAGGTCATTAGTTCAAGCATTAGAGAAGAGAGAGGAGGAAGGGAAAAAGTGGGAAAAAGGAAATAACTCCCAGCAAATTGTTATTGCGGCTCGGGTTAATTGCGCTGAACCCCTGCCAAGTCGTTGGCACTCTATTTCCGCACTTTTTCAAAAGTGCATAAAAACCGGATTCGATTAAGGAAAAGTACCGTGGCGAGCATAAGCCTCCTTGAGCGATCGCTTGGATCTTTCTAGGGCTCCCTCCACCCTCGTCTCATCAATCACCCCTCCGGAAGGTAAAAAAAAACATTCCTCCCACACGTCCCGAATTATTCCAGAAATGATTTGCAGTCGCGGTAGCGCCGGAGTTAAGGCGAGTTATTGCAAGCCATTCCGAGTAAACTAAAATTTATCGTCGATTATCTCAATAATTGCATGCAGCTCTCCTGAGGGAGGTCCGAAATCCCGACACATTGGCAAAATTCCCATTTTCACAATCCGCATCCATAAATTTGGCAATATTCGAGGCCCGAGGTGGACACCGAAGGAGCCCGAAATTTCGCATTAGTTGCCCAAAATAAATGATGGAAATATTACTAATAAAAAAAAAAAGAAAAAGAAAAAAGATCAACATCGACCCTCAATTTCATCAATTCTATCTCTCCTGCTCCCTGCCGGTACTCGGTTCTTCGCAGCATCCCTTGGAACTCCCAGCCGAGTCAGCTCTCTTCCAGGGGTGGTTCCGGATTTGGGATTCCTCCCCCGTAGCAGCCCGTCTGGACCCCGCCTCCCTCGTCTCCGATTATCGGCTCGAGTTCGACCCCCCAATAGCCCTGGAAGTTGAAACGAGTTTCGGCGTCATCCCGGGGACGTTTCGCGATCCCTGGGAGAGGGTCGGGGCCTTCCGTGCATCCCCTGACCCATTTATCTCCAGGGAATGGAGGAAAGGTGGGGGCCGACCCGTCCCGGGACGTGCGCCGACTCCGACCCCGGGGATGCACCCCGGCCAGAATGCAAATGATCAATTAACCAGTTGTAAATCACCTTGACGCTCTGGGCACAGCCCTTAGCCCCGATCTATCTCCGCACCCCCGGTACTTGGCCGTTCCAATGGCAGCCAACTCCTTTCCACCCCCGGCGAGGAACGGACAAGGCACGGAATATCTATAACCAGGCCACCGAGTGGCCTGCCCGAACTTCCCAGCCAACCTGAGACTCGCTTCCTGGGGACTGGTGCCCTCTACGTGCACCTAGACTACATGCTGCACCCCGAATTTAATTTTCTCTTCCCCAAATATACCGAGATACGGAATTTCTATTGATTTTCATTACGAATCATCAATCCCACGCCGCCGTTTTGCAAGTCCAAAATCGTTCCTATAGACTTGGGCCTTGGGTGCACTTGCGCGATCTAAGCCTCCTGGACAATTGGAGGATTTTTTAACCGCGGATTTAATATCTCTGCCAAATGTACCGAGAAACGGAATTTTTTATTAAGATTCCTTCAAAGGGAGCGCCGCCATTTCTCTTCGTTTGTGGGGCTCTTATACTCTTTCGGCCTCGACACCCATGCCCCGGGACTTCCCGGCATGTTATTAACGCCGTTCCGCTAAAATCCACCATTTAATTCAGTTACACGGAGTATTACTTCGGGGCCAGGTCGGACGCGCCGGTCAGGAGGTGGAAGATGGATGATGGCCACGACAGGCTGCGGTTAAATGCAGCGCATGAAAGAACCTCCCTAACTCTGCCGTGCAGGATTTCGCCCGGAAACGTCTTGGGGCTTGAAAGTTTTCGAAACGTCCTCCGCACATCGGGGAGGATGCATTTCCATCCTCGAGAAATCCTCGGCCCGGATCCGCGAGTAGTTTCCACGAGTGTTCCGTGAGGATATTATTGCGTGACGAGGGCTCTAGGGATATTCCACCAGTGATCGTAAATCCCCTGGAGTGATCGATGGGACTTCCGGATGGGCGTTGAGTCCATGCTCGGACTTTCTGCCGGGATCTCGAACTCTTTTTCTCCCTCCACCTTGGGGGAGGTATCCTGGAAGAAATATGGTAAGGTTGCGGGCACTTCTACAGGAAACTTTCGATGATGGAACTTTTCCTTCCCTGTTTATGCCCGGAAGTTCTGCCCTGCAGCTGATCGGTTCTCCCTATAAAATGACTGGGGAACATCCACGCGTCTTCTACCTCCGATGACGCAAATGATGCCGATGGGGAGCATGGAGGATCAGCACCCTGGAGGTCCCTCGATGATGCTTACCGTTCTAGTCTCATCCAACGTCCCTTCCCATGAGGGAAGATCTTCGGACGTGACTCCAGGAATTTTCTGCGAGCTTCCAGACACGTTCCTGACGTCGAACTACATCCCAGGACGAGTGCAGCTCATGTAGTGAATGAAACTCGCCGTTTCTTCTGGTCGCTGGTTGCAGCTGCGCAATCAATACCCGGCTGAACCGAATCCGATCACGCGGGAGCACCTCGCGTGCAATCCACGAGGCTGGTCGAGCTTTTCCAACTTTAATGCCGGGTTAGGAACGGTAACTGCCGCCATTTGCCACGTGCTCCCGACGTTAGGGGTCCTTCGAGACCCGCGAGTTCGAAGGAACGAGCACCCATGAGACTCGCCTGAAGCCTTTGGCTACTTGGAGCTCCGAGAAGACTTCCATGATCCACCAACACTTGCTGCAAGAAACGTAACCCTGGTATCTACCCTGAATACAGGTGCTCCAGGTCTACCTGAACTACCGTTGATGGTCCTGGTGGTACTTCCAGGTGGTCTTAGTAGCAAGTAGGGCCATCGGCACTAATGGTGGCGGTACCTTGCTCAAAGTCTTGGGATTGTAATGCCCTGAAGTAACACCTCCAAAGTGATCTTAACAGCGACTCCAGCCATCAGCACTAATGGCGTGGTACCTTGCTCGGTCTTGGGGTCGCAATGTCTTGCCGTCGAGGGTTTCGCTCGATGGGCTCCACTCCACGTAATTTCGCTTCGCGTTTCAAGTTCAAACGACTAGAAAGATATCGATGTGTCGTGGCAGGTACCCGTTAGAAGAAAGAAGGTGGTCGATGGAGTTGGGTCAGTGTGCCAGAACGGTGGTACGGTCGACGTGGCCGAAGAACTTGCGGTGGAACGAGCCGAGTTGGTCTTGGGAACCAGCAGGTGACTCGCACGCGGAGCCTTAGTTAATGTCTCGTTGCAGCCGCAATTAACTCGGCAGAATCGGTTTGCTATCGTTCGCCATTTAGCCCGAACGCAAACTTGGACTCAGCTGATAGTCCAATAAAGACCCGAATCTCTTCCCGGCAGGGAAGGCCATAAAAATCCGCTTTACCGCGTCCAAAGCACGTCTTCCATTCCGAGTAGGGATGATAAAGGCAAATCTCTGGGCATCAGAAAAAGGATTGTTGGCACAGCCGAGGGAACATCCTTTTGATAGAGGTGTCTGGTCTTCCGGAACCTCAGAAATCCCCTAACTTCCATGATCGTCATTGCGACGCTTGTTGCATTACGAGTACCAAGTGGGAAGGTGGTGCCGAAGTCTTCAGGTTTTTAGAAACGAACGTCCGTTGAGGGCTTTCGATCGATGAGCTTTCGTGGGACCTGGTTGGGCTAGGCTCGGCAGCCGAACAGCCGACTTGCACGCGAAAGCTTAATTGATGTCTCGTTCTAGGCGTAATTAATCCAGTTTGCTGGTACTCCCCATCACTCGCTACTTACCCTGGATATAGAGTTGGACTCCTTGGTCCGCCTGCAAAGCCTTGAATTTCCTGCGAAAACCACCCCCTAGTCCCTCAGAGAAAATCTCAGCAAAGGAACAGGTCGTTCATCGGGAGCCCCGGATTCCTGGCATGAGCCTCTCTTCATCGGAGGACTTGCCAAAGCGAAAACCTCCACTTAATGCCGCTTTTACAGTCAGGAGGTCAGGCTTGGGAACGGATCCAGCAGTTTAGCATGCAGGGTCCCGGCAACTCCAGCTTTGATTAACTCTACGAACTGGTGTATCATCGCCCTGTTAATGTCTGATCCTTGTTTCAGGAAATCGCGGCGATTTTGATCAGTTTCCAACGGCATGTCGAGTGGCAAAGTCGGGAGGTCAAGGTGCGCCCCAGGAGCGGCTCGATGCTCCTCTACTCCAGGAAGAAAGTGCGCTACCGAAGGGATGGGTACTGCTGGAAGAAGAGGAAAGATGGCAAGACCACTCGGGAGGATCACATGAAGCTAAAGGTGGGTCTTGATGTTGATAAGCGATCGGCAACCTTTGGTTAGGATGGGGAGCAGGATCGACCTGCTGATGGGAGTCTTTGAGAATGACGGAAGTTAAGAATCCTGATTATTTATATTTTCTTTCCTTGATCCAGGTCCAAGGAGTGGAGTGCATCTATGGGTGCTACGTCCACTCGGCGATTTTGCCGACGTTCCATCGCCGGTGCTACTGGCTCCTGCAGAACCCTGACGTGGTCCTGGTCCATTATCTGAACGTCCCCTACCCAGACGGGGACGCGAAGTTGGCGGCCCTACCGTCCTGCCTTGCCTTGCCACCCGACAAGAAGGAATGGACTCGGGACGAGTTGGCCTCCCAGCTGAGGCCCATGTTCCTGGGTGGAGACGAGGACCCCAATGACCCTCACTTGGGCCAGCACTCGTCGCATCCGGTGGACATGATTGTCACCCAGCTGCTGGACCGCCAGAGAGCGTCATCAACCACGGGAACAGGTGCCGCCCAGCTCGCTCCCAGAAGACTCACCCCAGACAACCAGGTTCGTCCCCGAGACGTTAGTCATGGAAGCCTTGCACGGCTTCCACCTTGGTTTGAAGAGTCCTAAGTGGAGTTGCTATTCCAAGCACCACTTGGATCTGAATTAGGAATATTACCTGCAGGTGACTTCGACGACCGGGGGTCAACAGCAAGCAACAACGGCGTCGTCAGCTCCCCGGGTGTACTCGCGACATTCCCACACGACCCAAGGACAACAGGCTACTCCTTTGGTCCTGAGCCTGCAACAGATTCAAGGCGGAGGTGGGTTGTTGATCCTGAATAGTCAACCCTACCACCACCAGCAGCAACAGCAGCAGCAACAGCAGCAGCAGTCCCAACAAGCGCAGCACCAGCACCAGCAGCAGCAGCAGCAGGCTCAGGCCCAGCAGCAGAGTCAGCAGGTGGACATGCAGCAGGTGGCGGATCAGCAACAACTGGTCCAGCAAACGAACGTCGACAGAGAGCAGCAAACCCAGCAAGAGATCGATGCCCAGGATGGTTTGGATAGGTCGTCCGTCCCGTCTCTACCTACCCCCGGGAGCGGAACCAGCGTTGCCGATTTCCCGGAGAGTCTTGACCTCAGCCAGGAGGAGATCCAGAGGACCCTGTCAGGCAACATGGTCCCTCCGTCGCCGTCCACCTCCCCTGGGGACAACGACATGATCAACCCGATGGACTTCATCGACTCCTCGGACGACGTGCTCATCAATCTCGATGCCTTCGACGTGTTCAGCGACTTGCCGGAGCTTCATGATTTCGAGGCCGAGCAGGTCAAGGCTGATGACCACGCTGACAACGACGCTGCTTGCCACCCAGGGACTACAGTACACATCGCGGAATACAGCCCTGAGTGGAGCTACACCGAAGGCGGCGTCAAGGTAGGACATCCTTTGGCTTCTGGTTGGTTCTAGGTAGTTGATCGATCAGCGATAATTATTCAATCCTCTCGATTTACATGGTAATAGGTGTTGGTTGCTGGACCATGGACCGGTGGCAGTGGGTCTCAGTCGTACTCGGTGCTCTTCGACGCTGAACCGGTGGAGGCGTGTCTGGTGCAGCCTGGGGTGCTGAGATGCAGATGCCCAGCTCATGTACCTGGCGTGGCGTCCCTTCAAGTAGCCTGTGATGGCTTTGTTGTATCTGACAGCGTTGCCTTCGAGTATCGACGAGCTCCAGCAACCGAGCCAAGTCCGGAACGAGCTCTGCTGGATCGCTTGGCTGATGTGGAAGCCAGGCTCCAGGGTCCGGGGCCACCGTCACCGGCTGCACACCTTGAAGAACGTCTTGTCGCGTATTGCCAGGTAGCTTCAGGATACTTTTACGGCCCCTTTGCACGGAAAGTAGAGCATTCTCTGTCAGACATCGAGCCTTTCTTGGAGATGCCGATGATCCTTCTTAATCGTGATGATCCTTGTTGTAGGATGCCGTTGTCCGACCTTGGCGAGCTGGAGCCGAACCTCTCCAGTCAGGAGGCCCCACGTTGTTGCACCTGGCAGCTGGACTTGGCTACTCTAGACTGGCTTGTGCACTTCTCCACTGGCGAGCTGAGAATCCTAGCAGTGTGTTGGATGCTGAAGTTGATGCTCTCAGGCAAGATGGAGCAGGTCTGACGCCTCTTGCTTGGGCCTGTGCTGCTGGACATGCCGATACAGCCAGGATCCTCTATCGGTGGGTCCTTTTTCATAGATGTGTCGATATTGATCCCACTTCAATCAAGAAATAGCCTCCCAGGGTTACGCAGATTTCTTTTTCTCGTTCCAGGTGGAACGCCATGGCTCTTCGCGTCAGGGACTGCCAAAACCGGACAGCGACCGAACTGGCCGCTGAAAACGGGCATGCCGCGATTTCTGAGGAATTGAACCGTCTGGAAGCTAGAAGACAAGACGAGAGACTCTTCCTGCGACCTGCTAGCCCTAGAAGACCATCTCAGGACAGCGGGCTCGACCTAGCGTTGTGTTAGTTTCTTTTGAATCTCTTACTCTAGTCTATATATCCTGTCCGCGAGACAAATGCACTTGTCAAAATATGCTATGGGGTTCTTGAAGCCCCAATGGGGCTTGAATATTTATCCCAGGGTTTCGAATGGCGTAGAATTAAGGGTTTCTCGAAAAACACAGGTGGCTCGCCGCTCCTGGACAACATGGAGTTGTTGCAAGAAGACGAGTCCTCGTTAGGACTTGGCCAACAGGGAATGGAAAGTGCTCCGAGTCCTGGGGAAACTGTAGGTCCGTACCATCCTGGCTTCCCGTGTGTGTCTGTCACTGTCTGTACACTGTCTGTCTGCCTGTCTGTCTGTATATTATTTTTATCCGCAAACATGAAGCGCTCACCTGACTTCCGAGTGACACTTTAGCGACCCACTGTCCTAGCCAACTTTCTACGCTATTCATTTCTTCTCTCGTACTCGGTGATAGGGCTTTCGATTTTTCTCTCAAATTTCTCGCGGAACTCCGTTTTGGTCTGTTGGCATCAGATGTGCCTAAAAATCCTGAATCCATCGGTGAACGTCACTGATACCAAAAAAAACTGCAGTTGGAACCAAATCGACGTCTTCTTCTGGAGATAACAGGAGGCTGACATTTTCCCCTCGACTCAAAATAATTACAAACAATTACAACAGTTCTTTCATTGAACGGTACTTGGTCTAATAAAAAAAAACAGAAGGATAAAACGGAAACGTTACGCTGAAATGGACTTCGAGACATTCTTTTTGCGTCACGGAGACTAGTTCTAAGAAAGTTTCGGGTAAATTTTTAATGCTACCAGCAGGTGCGAAATCCTAAAAAGTTACGTACTAAAACTGCAACACGGGGTATATTTTATGCACCCGCTTCGCAAAGGGCCATTATAAAGTTTCCCGCTCCCAGCTTCTGAATTTTGCAACATGAATTCGTGCTTCCGATTTCCCTGGACCGTATTTACCCACTTTTGGGCGATATAGAAAAATTCTCTTTGGAGTGGAACCTCCATTTCCCCGCCACTATCTCCACATTAACCGGAACGTCCTGACTCTCTTTGCAACACTCGCATAGACATCCTTTATTCTTTCCTTTCGGGGGAGGAATTATTATTCACTGTGTCAAATTAACAGGTGGAAAGGGGGAACCGATGTCTCAACAACAGGGGAGCACTATTGCGGTAGTGGCTTTAGGCTTACCAGTGTTTGATTAATTAGCGGGACCACAGAAAACGCTATTCGATGTTAGACTTTGCCGTCTGGACGCGGCTTGACTCGATGTTGTACTTCGGTGTGCCTCCTGGATGGTACCGCACTCGTTAATGTCAAATGTCTGAGGCTGTAATTATTCCTCGTAGGGGAAGAAGACGCGAGGGTGCTGACCTTGGCGGAGCAGATCATCGCGGCGCTTCCAGAGAGGATCAAGAGGGCCGAAAACGATGCCTCGTCGCCGTCGTCGCCGCCTTCTCCGTCCCCGTTGCCACCCCTAGAAGATGCCCTGATGGAGCAAGTGGTAAACTCATACTTATCTACATGTCCAAACCTCCCTCCTAATCAGTGCTAATACCGCGGAGTCGAATCTTGAACTGGAAGAATTATTTCATGAATTTCAAAGACGGGATGAAGTATTCTTTCTGCTAGACCAGTCTCTCTCTTCCGAGTCTATATCTCAGTTCCTGCAATAAACGAGTCTAATTAGTTTAATCAGTTTCTTTACCAGCCCCTAGACTCTGGTGAACTCTTCGACTCCTACCGCGACTGCAGTGGAGGTGCAGCGTCGGTGTCAGACGCGGATGCAGATGCAAGTCCGTCGAGCCCGTCCAGCAGCTGCCTGACCCCGGACTCGCCGTCTCCACCACCTACCACCGCGGATTTCTGCGAGTTCCTGCAGCTGCAGCTGCAACTGGACGGTGGGAACGGCCAGAATGGACAGTACTCGTACGACGGTGGCGCCACCCGCGGTCTGGGAAGCGGCCTGGGTCCCGCAGGTGGTCCTGCAGGGGCGACCGGGAACGGGGACGGCGGCGAAGCCGATCTCAGCAGGCTGACCCTGTCCGACCGGGAGCAGAGGGAGCTTTATCAGGCCGCCAGGATGATCCAGAAGGCCTACAGGAACTACAAAGGCCGCCAACGTCAGGAAGAGGCCGAGCGACATGCCGCCGTCCTCATTCAGCAGTACTATCGCCGGTATAAGCAGTATGCGTACTACAGGTAGCCCACTACGATTTGCACATTAGTTTCCCTTCCCCCTTTCGGGATAGATCAGGGTCTCCGGGATACCCAGGACAGACTTCTCACCAGAGTGCCGGAATTGCGAAACGGGTCCCTTCCGAATTAGGAGACTCGCTCGTAGCTAAGAAGCGAGACGCTAATGCCGGGGATCATTCGAATATATGGAAGTTCCGGGAAGTTCGCCGGAGTTCTCGAGGTTCGCCGGAGGTCTTGATGCTCCCGGTGGGGCTTTGCACCTGGTCTCGGGGCTGGCAATAAATATGAAATAACTATTAATAAAGGTCGGCGTCCGCGCCATCTTGGGCTAGGCTAACGACCTTGCCTCACCGGCGGAACTTTAAACTTCCCGGCCCGTTAGGGATGCAACTTTTAATTGGCACCGTAGATACAATTCGGCGGAACTTCCCTGGAAGTTCCTAGCCAGGAACGTCGGCTTGGATGCGGAATTAAGCTTGCATTAAATTAACGCGCGCCCGCCTAAGCGAGTAACTCGCTCTCTGGCTCGTACATAATTCAGGCGGCTTCTTAGACGGCTTCCGCGATGCCTTGCGGCCACGATTGCGATTTTTATGGCCGCAGGTGTTGTCTTCCTCGGCAACTTTTAACGCCGAGCGAGCTTCCTATCTGGTGGCGCTGATTGGCCATCGAATTTTAGGGGCTCGTTTCAACTTCAGAAAAATTCCACCGTGCATCGACAGTTACTCCCATTTCAGTGATACCTCGTGGTTCATTCAGAGTGATACACGATGAATTTTTACACGTGAGATGCCACGTAAATTCGTCGCCCAAAGTGACTACTAAAGATGGTCGTCGCGAATGCGTAGTCGATGGTCCTAGGGGAAATTTTTGGTCAACTCGGGAGACGCTAGTTTCCAATTTTCGAGTTCTTCCCACCAATGAAACCGCTTGCTTAAGTCAATGCTAACTTTTTTCCCCCGTCTTCCCGTGACTGCAGACAAGCTACCAGAGCAGCTTTGGTCATCCAGAGTAACTACCGAAGCTACAGGGCCAGGCCCGGGTCCAATCCAAGGCAGCAAACCGTGCACCAGCAGGCAGCCCATCAGGCTGCCCGGAAGATTCAGCAGTTCATGAGACAGTCCAAGATCAAGTGAGTTATTTCATCAAACTTCAATTACTCCGCCATCTTTGTTCATGACAAAAGTCCTCTCCGATACCTGGTACGGAACATTTAGTCATAGTCATCTTGTCCTGTTGAACGCAGCCTCTCGTGGGATGATTCCCGTCCGGTAAGTAAAGAAAGAACTACGTCTAATTCGGGAGATCCCCAAACAAAGTCTCGGCCAGGCGCCATGTTGGCTCAGAGGGGTCGGTCGAATTTCTTTCTAAAAAACGAAGGACTCGGGAGCAAAGCGCCGCCCTTGGGGGCGCATAAAAAATGCAGCTGCCTCGGGTTTGACTTTCCTTTCCCCCAGAGCCCCGTAAAGCCACGTAGCCGATATCGATTATTTATTTTGTGAATTACCGCCCTCGGGTTTGCGACATCCGGAGGTATTATCAATGCAGTGTCGTGCGTGGAGCGTCGAGAGGCGCATTTGGAATTTATCGCGGGGGTACGGGTGGAATGTGGTCTCGAAATTTCATTGAAAGTCTGTTTCTCTTTCCCGCCAGACTGCAGAACGCCAGGGCCGTCGCAAGCGGGAGCGGGAGGCAGCAGGGGCCCACTTCACGGGGGGCTGTTGCCCCCCAAAGCTCGCCCTCATCTAGCCCAGGGGCCGGCCCAGTAGTCGCCAGCCCAGAAGCCACGTAGTCGATTGTCAGCCAACTTCAGGAGGCATCACTCTTGAGGAGAGGCGACGCCAGCGCACATAGAGAGCCCTGGTACCGAGGCGTCCCGCCAGGGGCGTCCGAGTCGTTCTCTCTTGCGGCCGTCGACTACTCGCGGTCCTTCGCCATGATGGACGCCGAGCCACGTGACGCGGTTCTCAAACTAGCAATCGCTACTCCTCGAGTCCACTGCGCGAAATATAGGTGCTATTGTCGACCGCCGCACGTCGCCCTCGTCGCGCGCCCACCTCGAAACTTGGGAACCGCCTCACACGAGTCATGGAGTACTTAGGGCGGAATTACCTTCGGATACTCTTGGGATATTTGGGAGGTCGTCCGGAAATCTGGGAATTGCTCGAAAAAACGCTGGCATTCGCGAGTGGGCCGGAGTTAGGATGTAACGGGGCGTTACAGGGTAGTCGGGGAAGCCGCCATATTGGAGGTCGCGGTCGCCAGTCGGAGCTTAAGATGGCCGCCATTGTGATTCCCCGGCTGTATTTCTAGTACCGGGGAAAATGCGCGGCGGATTCGCTGTTTCTTTGAGACGTTCGAGGGGAAATGAGTTTTTGGAAGACGTTCACGTTCCTGGATAGAAAATGCTAGAGTTAATAGGGTATAGAGCTATTAGGGTGTTCGCCATATTGAGGGGTGATCTGTGATTGGTCACTGGACTGCCGGACTCGGCCAATCGGACGCGATTGATAATCAATATGGCGAGACTGAGACGTCGCATCGGCACTTTCTGGGGAGTTTCGGCGTTGGTGCCATTTCTCGAGGCGTCTCCAGTGGGGATTTCGATTGTTTTCCCGGTTTTTCTTCTTATGAAATTTACGGCGCTGCCGGTCGTTGATGTGGGGCGTGCAACTACAGGGTAGCTAGGGGATTCGCCATATTGAATGCGTTGCGAACCAGTGATCGTTACCAAATTTTTCTTACTTTCGCCGAACTTCCGGTTCTAGTTACATTCTCGTTAGAGCGGAAACGGCCAATCGGGTGCGATTGATAATCAATATGGCGACCGATAAGCAGCTTCGGCACCTTATAACGAATACGAGCACACGCGCGTCACCGGAAACGGAATTCGAGGTTCCCTCTTTTGAACAAAGTCGAATTTCTGGGAGAGAGTTGACGCTACTAAGTAACTAGGAAACACTAGGATGCACTACAACAGGGTAGCTAGGCAATTCGCCGTATCGAGAGCGTCGATAACCAGTGATTGGCTCCTCTACTGGCCAATCGGGCTCGACTGAGATGTCGCTACTGTACTCCGCAACGTCGGAGCGGGAAATTCAAATCGCTCGCGGAAGGTTTCACCGAACGCTCCAGGCGAATAATTCGCTCCTCTCCGAGAAAATAGTCGGTAGTAGTCCTCGCAAGAGGCGAGAAGTTCGTTTTCAACGAATTGCACATCGAGGAAGGAGACCTACGCGCCGGCAAACGGTTTTCAGACTAGTCCCGATCTGGATTAGGAAACAGCGAAGGATTTCCATCTACTCCGAATTTCTAGGGAAATCCAAACAAGGAAAGACGCGAGGCGAAGATCCGCCATATTGGAAACTAATCAAACGCAATTAAAATCCCGGTGGCGTGTACATTAGTCCGTGCCACTCTACTTTCTCGCTTCCGTCGATCGTTTCGTTGCGTTTTCTATAAGCTAGTCCTAGTAATTCCGAATCGATACATTTTCTACGGCGTATTTTAATCTGTCCAGTAGACTTCAGTGATAGAAAGTCGTGCCCTAGGTGCAAGAATTTCGTCACTCGAGTTGTGCCGATCCTTCTTGGCGTGCTATTCGTAGGAAACAGTATAACAGAGAAACGAGGCGGGAGGAAGGGATTTTCGGGATTCTGAGCGAGAGAGAGGGAGAGCATGAGAGAGTGAAAGAGAAAGAGAGAAAAGAGGGAAAGTCCTCTGGCGGAATCCCCCGATAGTGCTGCCGTGCACCGGGCGCTTCGAGTATTAGCGATCTCTTCGACTTTTAGATACCTATACGTATAAACCTATTATTAAGGGCTATTTGAGCACCGTCATCGATTTAATCTATCAGTCTTTCTCGCTAGAGAGAGGAAACTTTCGAGGATTCTTACGTCGTAGTATTTTAAGCTAGTATGAGAGAGGGAAAGAGAGAGGGCGCGCGCGAGCGCGCACAACAGGGGGATTCCGCGCTTGCGCGGCTCTCTCGGCGTTTAAAAAAAAACATTGTGATAAATCTATGGTGATCCAAGAAAGTATTTCCGAGGTTTCGATGCTACGAATGCCGTCGGTCGAAGTGGCGCGTAGAAGGCGGACGGTGCGAACTTCATGCGGCCCACCTTGGCGGTCCGAGCTTACGTCGAGTTTGCGCGCAATTGCACCTGTATTGCTCGCATATGCGACAGTGCACTGCAATCGGAGCTGCGACTGACGTCACTGTGCTGCGAGCTTCCCGTGAAGGCTTCGAATCACGAGACTAGCCCGGAATTTCTCGGCGCAGCATGTAGGGCGCGTTGCAGGCAACTACTCTCTGCGTGGCTACAAAAACGGTTTTATCTGACAATCGGAGCGACATATAGAAAAACGTTTCTAACAAACATTCCGCGGGACAACGTAAGCGGCAACTTTTGTCTGAGCCGTTTTTCTACATAGTGCACGGGAGAGGCGGAAATCTGGGACATGCAGAGCGTACTCGCCGACTCGCCCGGCGTTCGCCATATCGGATCGCCGAGATCCACAGCACAGTGGCGTCATTTTCCGCGGCCTGACAATGAAATCCGACGTGTCAGACTTGCGAGCCTCTTGATTCAAATACGAACTAATTAGGGTTAATGTAAATCTTACAATTTAGACCTTACGAGTGGTCGAGTCGTGGCGACTGTCCCGCGTCCTAAAAAAAGGGGCGACGAACGACCACTGTGATCGTTTGCATCCTCGGGGTACACGCAGTTCCGGGGACGGATTTTTGTGCATCCCCATGCGGGGAATTCTGGTGACTTTTACAGTCCGCCTTTTACGACGGGAACGGACCTTTCGTCCGGCTAGGATGGAAGATCAGCCCGCTGCGTAACTTAACCGCAAAAACTAGTGTCCGTTGGCATCGCACGGAGCGCACTTTCTCGTTCTTCCGACCTCGTAGAGCCGCTTAATCGTAATCTCGCGTAATTCTTGAGAACTTGTAACCTATTACGAAACACATCCGCGCTGTGACGATGGCACCCCCTGGCGGAGGCCGACGTAAGCGCGGAGCGTCCTAGGCGAGCGCTAGGGAAAATTGTACACACGAGTCAATTCCAACGAGCATTTTCATGCCACTAAGCTTAAAGAATTATTAGTTATTAAAGAAAGAGAAAGCAGGAGGTAACGGCGACACGATGGAAAGAGAGACGAGTACATAGAGTACACTCATGCATATATACTGACGCGCATGCGTGTCGATCAACATTCGAGACGAGGCCACACATGGAGACAGAATTCCACACACATACACACACACACGTACACACTTTCAATCATTGTTAATTAATTCGTCACGATCCTATCGATACTTAAAGAGAGGCGAGAGAGCGAGTAAATATTATTATTATACACGAACTACTATTGTATTCATATTTTTGCTTATTACGACTTTTTAAGAATCTATCGAGGAGGGTCTAGTTAGAAAACGAGCCGCAAGGGAACGCCCCATGTGCGATGTGTAGAAGTGGAAACTCCCTAGGAAGGGGGACACCTCTATTGAGGACGCTTGCAAGAAGTAACTAGACTTCGTTTATTTCATTTTATTCTGATATTCTGATTTGTTGGTGGATTCTCGGTTCAGACGTTCTTATTGCGAAAAAAATTATTGGGCCCGCGTTTTCTAGACTGCAGGGTTCAGGGATTATCGAAGCGACCTCAATAGTGGAATCACTCTAATATTCATGCAAACCGACGGAAGTTTCTAGAACTGCACACGGATCATCGTGGGGCGCGCAGATCGCGCTCCATGCGGCCGTAGTTTGCCGAGCGCGGCGAAATCGAGCTTCGAGCCTCGCGTGATATACTTAATTAATCGAAATACAGTAACGATAACTTAACGGAGGACTTAAGGGACATTAAGGGAGAGGCTTATTAGTCGGGAGTTGGTAAAAAAAAAAGAAATCATACCGAGGCAAAAGCGACTCTGACTGCGGCGCGCTTTGCGCAAACAGTACTACTTTTCGCTTAAGGGATTTAAAAAGTAGATTCAGGAGTAATAAATAATTAACTAAATCAATGAATAAATAAATAAAAGAGGGAACCGAGGGAGGCGTCGGTTTGTAGAGCCAGAATCGCCTCTCTGCCGAGACTTAATGAAAAGGACTTAGAGAGCAGCACTTTTAGTCGGGCCTCTTCGGGCGAGAAAACTCGTCCTCTTCGACCTCTTCTTCGGGTTCTTGCAAAATTCCCCGTATATTTTTTTACGCGTCCAACGGTTGTCCCCGGAGGTTGCGATGCGAAATTGGTCGTCCGATTCTAACCTCTCTCTCTCTCTCTCTCTCTCTCTCTCATTGCTAGAGATTAACAGCGAAGGAAAGACGACGACTTTTCTTCCCGAGTGCGCGCCCGTGAACTTCCGTCTCGACCTCGCGGCGAGTAGTTAACCTCACTTTCTCATTAGCGACTAACTAGTCTAAAGGAAACATCCTTAATCCCGTTTGCGGGGCTGCCATCTGTCGGAGGTCGGCCGTACGATCCGGCCTTTGGCGAGACTGGCAGCTTTTTTGGGATAACAACCCGCGACGGATCCACTTTTTCGCTTTTTGAATCGCGACGAGGACTCGCGGGAGGCCAGGGGAGAGTGCTGATAAAATAACGAAGTAAATCCAAGTGGAAAAAAAAATATACATATATATATCCATATATCTCTACGAGAAACTCGCTAGGGTAGGCGCTTCACGGTACATAAATCTTCTCAAGACACCTCAAGGGGTGAATTATTCTCAAGTAAATCAATTAAACGATGAATAAACAAGCGACTTAAAGGGTTGACACCGGCGTCATCGAGGAAGTTAAGAGGAAGCCCAGGAGACACTTGCGGCAGGAATTTCAAAAGTCCTCGAACTCGTCCCCATTTTGAGAATTATTATCCTTCTGGGGACACTTTCTGGTGTTTTTAAGGTCTACCGGTTCCTTCTTTCTTCCCGATGCGCCGGCGGGCTTTTCGAACGAGGGAAAAGTGACGAAGTTGGGAATGCGAAAGCCGAGGGTCAAAGACGACTAGATATCATAGGAGCCGCATGGCCTAACTGCTGCCACATTGAATTAAAAATTGATTAATTGTAAACTTTACTACTATCCGATTAACGAGTCGATATAAACAAGTCAGTGGCCTTCCGGCCACATTTCAAGCTACTCTTAGAGGTTTGCAATCGAATACAAAAATCGTAGGTAGTCTCTATTCCCCGTTTCCCACTTCCTCGAGGCGGGGACGAGAATATACACTCGCTAGAGATTATCGCGCTCCGAAGAATATATCTCTGGGGTAATATGCCCGGAATATATTGCGATGCGTCCCATAAGTCCTGTCGAGCTCGCCGAGATCGAGTATTGTTGCTGGCGGAGGTTTAAACAAATTATTCCCGGAGTCCTTTCGACTTCCAGGCGAGATTCGCCGAGACCGAGGCGGTCGGAACTGCCTAGTTATTCATTTATAATTGTTAAGAGCCGTGGTTTTGTTTATAAGAAAATTGTCTCTTTAAATAGATCGTTAGGACCTCGGTGAAGAACGTTAATTTAGCCGAATTGTTCCTCCCCGTATAGGCATAATGTATCGTCCGTGATATTTGTTATCTGTTGGGTGTTTGAATAGTGCAAATTATGCCGTTCCATTGGTGGACATTAAGTTTACGGAAGTTGATTAGTCGTTGTTGTATATTAATCGTTGAATCGTTAATCGCGCCAAGTACGGATCGCCGCGGTTCAAGGGTCCGTACCGAGCTGCGCTATTAATTATTAAGTAATTCATTTTTTAATCGGTATCGTGATTGTACATACGGATATTATTCTCACTCAGTCCCGTTGAATGTGTTAAGGTTCGGTATTTCGACGTAGCGTATGACAGGAGACAATTGTTGTCAAATAATCGACTCCTGTAACGCGTTCGAGTTTTAACGGTCATTTTTAAAACTCCCCGGGAGAAGGAGAAGGGACTACTTTAGTCATGGAAACAGTGATTACCACGCTTGTCACGAAATAATCATTAAATTCATTTAATAAATTGTCCCGCTAATTTCCTAGGCTAACAAAATTGCGTATAACTGAGAGCCAGTTCCTGGCAACGCGTGTAAATATCCAAGATGGAGTAAAAGTGGGTACATCGATAATGATTCTTTCATTTCTTCTTTTTCTTCGTTTTCCCCAAATAATTTCGGAAAACTGCAAGGAAAATCCAGGCAACAGGAAATCTCGGCAAAGGGAGCTCGACATTTCCTATCGGACGCATCCGCTCGCCGCCATTGATCTCGATTTTCGGAATTTAGGGAATCTCAAAAAAACCCGCTCACCCGAAATCCAAGATGGCGCCGAGCGGAACTCGTACGCTACGCATACCTGCTACTTTAGAGTTTACACAAATCGCAAACGATAAACAGGCTCCATCTCTTGTAATATTTTTATTATCGCAAGACGTAACATTAAATATATAATATAAGTATATATATTATATATTAAATAAATGATTATACCACTATTTATTATTTATCGACTAACGTTCAACTAATATTGTAAATAATACGAAAATATTTTATCTATATTTCCGATCCGGGGGGGTCGGGCGGGGTGCCGGGAACAACGATATTGTTTAATATTGTTCAATATTGTTGATGGACGCCGCCGCGGTCCACCGCGGCCTCCTTCCGCCCGCCCCCTCCCCCATTGTTACACCATTTCATCATTGCATTTAATAAATTATATATTTATTGACTTACCTTATTATTCTACCTAAGCCCGCTGATTTTCCGACACTTCCCTGCTTCACCGTAGATTCCGAACAAAACAATTAGAACCGATGACGCGAAGGAAGTGGACGGAAGTCGTAGCGTCCAATTTCCGTCAATCGTAAATCTGACTTCCAGCAGGCAACATCTTGGCATAGTTCCTGCGCAACGGTTTATTTAAAGCATACAAACAGTACAAACAATGTGTTTGAATACAAATTAAATTAAATTATTCTCGATATCAAGGGCACCAGGTTGCATCCATGCGATGTATCCTAGGGAGGACCAAGGATGAAAGAGATGCATGAGTTTCTTGCCGATGTTCCTGGTTTCTGCACATACACTCCATCATCGAGGACGATGGTCGATCCTTGAAAACTGATGTCCTCCCGGAAACGGCGTCATGGTTGCCTATGGTGATGATGCACTTCATCTAGCCATCAACGGGTGTCAAGACTGCCGTCGGAAAATCATCCCAGACCAGGACAAGGGCTGCTGCGGATCCGCGTCATCAGAACACCTGGACCCGATGGTTCTCCCTGTCGCAGACCACGATGTTCCCAGCCGAGGTGACCGCCACTCCTTCCAAGCCCTTGAATTCCCCGTCGCCGCTGCCCCAATTCCCAAAGGCCTTCAGGAAGACTCCTTCAGGAGTGAAGATCTGAATGCGGTTGTTCCCGGAGTCTGCGACGACGATGAAGCCCTGGTCATCGACGGCGACTCCTCTGGGGAACTTGAACTGCCCCTCTTCGGAGCCCTCCGATCCAAACGCAGTCAACACGCGGCCATTCACGTCGAATATCTGCACCCGGTGGTTGTTCCCATCGCTGACGATCACCCTGTTGGTGTTGCTGACCGCGATGTAGTGCGGATGTTCCAGCTGGCCACGACCGCTACCACAGGACCCGAACTTCCCGACGAAGGTGCCGTCCGACTGGAACACCTGAAAGGCAGCCAAGATTAGGAAAAGGGACATTTCGGTCCAAAGCTAAGCGTTCTCCAAGGACTTCCTTATCCAACATCAACGCCACCAGGAGCGGCGCTGAATGTCTTTGCCGAAGAACTTGGTATCCCAAACCCCATCAGGGGTTTCGAAATCCCAAGGACCCTAGTCCGAGATCTGTGGACGCGTCCGAAAGCGAAAGGATCCCCGATGGATTAGTCCGAAACTGTTCCTGACAAGACATCTTGTTAAAGAATCGCAGGTGCAGCCGAGGTGGGGCGTACTTGAACGCGATGGTTCTCCTTGTCGCAGACGTAGATGAATCCGAGGGCATCGGTGGTGATGCCCCAGGGGTAGTTGAACCTGCCATTGGCGGACCCCTGGGATCCAAAGGCCCTCAAGAACCGACCCGATGGGTCCAGGACCTGGATCCTGTGGTTGTAGCGATCGGCAATGATGAACTGCCCGATCCTGTTGACGGCGACTCCTGCGAGGCAGTCAAACTCCCCCTCGCCGCTCCCGTAGGATCCGAACTCCTTCAAGAAGTTCCCGTTCCCGTCGAACACCTAAAACGACTCGAAATTAGCTAAGTCGGCCCTCCACCTGCACATATATGTTAAAACTCGATCCCTTGCAAACTTAATCCAAATCTTAGGTCCCCACCCGAGCAGGGATCCAACGGAAAGTTAACTTCAAGCTACGGCTGCAACGAGACTAGACTTCCTGACCTATGTCAATGGAGAAGAAAAAAAATGAAGTTTGGGCTCGGCGATGACGTGCATCGTCGACGTTAAACGGCATTACGCCGAAATCGAGCACTCGGGGGCACTTGGGGTGGGTTCAAGGAACTATTGCAGCCAAACAATGCAGATTTGGGGTCTCCTGGTCTGAATGGACTGATTAGATGTCTTCGAGTCAACGGTATCCTGTATTGATCGCCTCGAGATTACCCGACGACAGTTTACAGCCTTAACATATACGTGTCTGGAGATGTGCCTAGATACAGTATGATCGGAGTCTTTGAACCCGAGGACGATGTTGGTTGCGTACTTGAACACGGTGGTTCGAGCTGTCGGCTACGACAATCGAGTTGTCGGGGCCTACTGCGAGGCCCCTAGGCCACGTAAAGCATCCGGCTTCGCTCCCCCGCATCCCAAACTTGAACAGCTGCCTCCTCTTCAGCAGGTACTGACTCCTGAAAGGATCAGTTCGGTCAACGTAGGCTCGGGGACTGGGGGTACCTACGCTTCCTGGGCCTCACCTAGTGGAGGAACCTGCTGCCGCGGGTATAGCGGGAGCTGTAGGGGACGTGGGGGAGCCTGACGGGTTTTTTTGGTCGTCGTCGGAAGACTCGAACGAGGTCTGCCCGGAGTGCCTCAACGGAAGTCCCAGGGAGAGCCTGCGGGAAGCTGCGCTGGCGCTATCGGGACGAACGAAAGGATCATCGGTTATCATCGCGACGGGCCGAGGTCCAGATCTCGTTCCTCGTCCCCACCCTGGGAACCTACTCCCAGGATCAACAAAAAAAAAAGAGAAAAATAGGAACGAGCGGTACCAAAGAAATGATGGACCAATTGTTCCTTCGGATCAACTGAGTTCCTTTTCTCAGGGTACCAGCTCGTGGGCTCAAGTTCCTGGGTTATCCAGAGAGGTGATAAGGTTCCGAAGGTGGGGGACCAACGAGCCTGGAGTCCCTGGAGCCTAGGGAGATCCTGGGCTTTCACCTCGAAGAGGGGATCGACGAGCTGGAGGGCGGCTCCTTGTCCTTGATGCCGCGGTTCCCGTACTTGTTCTTCAGGTACCGGGCCCAGGAACTTAGGGCTGCCCCGTCCTTCTCGGGACCTGATCGGTCTCTGTCCGGGCTCGGCTCTCTGCTCTTCAGGGCGTGGGTGCTGCGACTTCTGGCCAGCTCCGAACCTGCCCCGTACTTGGCCGCCAGGTACGCGTTCGGGGATTGAGTCGTCGGCGAGGGCGGGTCCTCGTCCAGGTGGTCGAGGTCGTCGTTCCCAAAGTTGTGGGAGCTCCTCGACCTGGCCAATCGCTGGCGCCTCTCCTTCAAGGCCGCGTATCGGGATCTAGGGGAAAGCGGCTCCGCTTCCGAGTCCTCTCTCTCTCGCTCCCGTTCCCGCTCCCGTTCTCGTTCTCTCTCCCGCTCGCGCGGCGTCGCCACCGTCGCCTGGCTTCTGCTCTTATTCAGGAACCTGCAAATCCCGACGTTCCCTTTGCATATACAGTAGCCTCCCATATAAAGAATTCCTATTACGCCAAGTATACTAATCTTTTCATGTAACCCGATTCTTCATACAGCGCACTAAATAAAAAAAAAAGGATACATTGTGCGCGATATACAAGAAATATCCCCATCCCGCAGGATTTCTTACAACGTGAATTCCTAGCGCGTACCGTAGGCTATAGAGAAAAAAAAGAAAAAAAAATGTGAAATTTATCATTTTTACCATCATCTTATGTACCAAAGGTCTATGTTATTTTTGGAATTTTTTTAACAGGGAATCCGTCGCGTTATACGGGAGTCTACTGTACCCCGATTCAAGGTACCCTGTCATTAGCGTCAATTCGACGCAGAAATTGAGGATTATGAGGGTGACATGATCTCGTTGATATGTCAGATTAACCGTGAAAAGGGGCGCAAAGTCGATACCGGTCTAATGTCGGGGCTAATTCCATTTTCTTTTTGCGGGTTCATAGAGGCAATACTAAAATGTAGTCCTGACGCGAGCAATGGTTGCCAAAGTGTTTCGAATAAATTGAGTATCGCTATTCTGGGATTACTAGACCTGGAGTTACCTTCCTTTCGGTATTTATTCCCTTTCTGAAATTGAGTAAAAAATAATAAATAAATGAGTCGATCGGGTTAGCTGGCCTAACCTACTCCGCTGGTTAGGTCGATTATTTATCCAAACAGCAAGCTGAATTAATCTGTTAAACTATTAATGAGGGATTAAGATGATTTTCTACGGTCGCCTGATTTCATCCCAATTGATTAAGATTTTTCTTTCGTGGTGTTTCCTCCGGAAGTGCCGAGTTCGCTTCGGGAGAGAAGAAGAGGACGAAGACGAGCCACCGAGACATTGAACGGCAAACGAAATTATTGACAAATCGGGATATTGACAAATTGAGACAATCAACACGTTGGGGTGGTAGGGGGAGGGAGGGAGGGAGGACTCTACACCGTGCTTTTGTCAAACTTTGGACCTGGGGGGGAGGGGGGCAAGATTTATGAATTTTCCGGGGTTCCCGTTTCTCTGGTTCCCTTTTTCTTTCTTTCTTTCTTTTTTTCTCCTTTCAAACAAGCCACGAGACGGAACAGTCAATCGATACGTTTGTATAAGGGAAATAAATAATGCGAGTTATCACAGAGAATGCAGTTTTATTGACCACACCAACAAACAACTAAGACGCAGGCCTACTCGCTAGGAGAGAGTACAAAAACTTAATTGATAAATGCTGCAGTGCGATCGGCCCACAAACATGGCGGCGACAATGTTGCCAGGACAGGGGGAGAAAAAAATTCCCCATACCGAGATAAGGGACACTCCGGAATTGTTAACTTTAACTAACCGCGAGGTAACTTCGAAAGTCTTTCTCACTTATCTCGCGGATCCCGATTCTTCGAAAAGTCTGGTTATTTCGCATTTAGCGAGCGTTTTCTAGTTTTGCGGAGTAAGAGAGATTTAGAAGAGGTTAGGTTGTTCTCTCGGTGCAGGAGGGGGGAGACCCATGTGCACAATCGTACCAGAGACAATTTAAAGGTGATTGGACGTAACAATCTGGGAACATTGCCTTACGGATAGTGGATCGCGGAATTTCCTGAAGCAAAAAGTCACTAGGGATCCTTCGGTTAAATTTAGTTTAGAGATTTCTCGGCCACTCGGGGAAACTCCCTAGATCCCGGGAACAGTATCGCCGTCTACTATTCGGAGGATGCACTTAGGAAAGGCCCCGAAGTGTCTTATGTTTCACTTTTTGGGCCTTTCCTGTCTCTCCTCCGATGACTCTGGTTCATCCTACTGCTGGTCGCAACAAACACTCCGTTTCACTTTCTCTCATTTCCCTTTAATTCAAAGAACCCCATAAAAGCAGTCTCATAATTGAAAATTCATTGAACGACGACGTCTCCTTCGAGATAAAGTAAATAATTCCACAAAGCGAAACTACTCTTAGAAAAAAAAAAAGAAACTACAAAAATCCGAAGCCAACCCTTTGACGCTTCTCCAACGTGCCGAAGAATGACCTTGATACCGTTTTTAAGCTCCTCAATTATTTTTTCTCCTTTGTCAGGATGTTCAGAAAGTTGGATTTTCTATTTCACTTTGACAGAACAATGTCGCGGTGAAGAGTTGAGAAAATGGAGAATTTAAATCCCTGGCCCAACAGCAGGATGACCTCGAAATTAGTTCGACTCTCCGAAGCTCTTTACTTGTTTGAAGCTAACTCCGCAGGGAATGGAGACAGGCAGTCTTTCGGGGCAGGTTGGGGTTCTTTTTTTTTCTTTTTGGAAAAATGACTAGGGAGGGACAGACGAACCTATATATATTATATGTATATATACAGGAGTACACGTAGAAAAATGTCTAAAAAGCTATCCCGCTACTTGAGCAACGTTATCCATTGCGTTTACTCCGGTTGCTGATATATGCATTTAGGAACGTTCTTGCGACTCTAGCCAAAAGTTATCACAATCAGTTTAATACGAAATGCAATGGCTTCCCCGAGCTTAATGAAGTCGAAGGACGACGCGAAAACCGGGACTCGAGCCTAAATGAAAATCTGGGACCTGGTTTTCACGCGAGGATCTAATTAATCTCGTCTCGATGCTCGGTTCCGTCCGTCTTTTTCTCTCTTTCTCTCCGCCTCTTCTTTCCTTCCTCGGATTTCTGACCTCGCGGATTTCCCCCTCGCGTTTCAGTAACCACTCAGATTATTAGCGATCTAGCTACTCAGGCCTGTGAAGTACCATGACGTGGAGGCAAAAGTCATAGATTAATTCCCATGCCGATGCAACGCTCTCGCAATTCCCAAAGAAACCTTCGAGCTTCCCCGACATTCACTCGTGACTTTGTTCAGAGTACGCGAATGCCGGAAGCAAAGTGACAACGTCAAGAAAGGACGACTCCCAATTACTGACGGGCCCCCCCGTCACCCTCCAACACGTTTTCCAATTTTTCAACTAATCTAGGGCGTCACACAGAAAAAGCATAAAGACCTTTTTTCCGTGAAACATTATCACGAATCTTTCTTCTGGTATGAAATTTTCAGCACGATCGATACTAAAGGCGCTAAAGGGAGAAAACCTCCGGTCGCGACCCCACTTCGTGGTCCGCGGGCCTCGAAAATATAAAAGCTCATATCTATCCCATTTTTTTTTAACATGAAGGCGTCATAATCGTTTCGATCTCCCACCCTTTTCGGAAATTGTTCAGTTTCTTCATCGTCGTAACCCGAAGAAACGACATTTCCTCGGTGGCAAGACATTGCATCGGGGTCGGAGGACCCAATGGTTACGTGGTTACCACTCTTCGTAGCCAATGTTCACGTTTTCTTTTTAGTAGAGGTAGTTACTGGCTAGCTTATCGTGCTTTTGGAGCAACCTGTTAATCGTGCGAAGACGAGGACAGAGAGGAGAGAGAGAGCAAGTCCTCCCCCTTGAGTCACAGGAAGAGATTAATCAGAACGCTGTAACACAGTATGGACACACAGAAGACGGTGGTTACCATTTGCATCGGTATACTCATATCGGAATCAGACCTTTCCTCGAGCTGGCCGGACTTTCCGGTCTTCTGACAGTTCCTGGCACTCGCAACAACGGTGCCATTTTCAGGACGTTTCGAAAACCGAGTGTCGTCGACATCGCGACGATCGGTCCAACCCAATGGGCGACTTCTCTTGTACCGAGGCACTTCTCTGAACTGATCCTCATTGTTTCGCTCCTTGTCTCCACCTTCAACATTTTTATCACCTTCCTCCACATCCTCTTCATCGTTTTCCGAGGTTTGGACGATAACCCAACCGCTGTCGTCGATGCTCTTCAGGGAATCTTGAGGCGTCTTGGAGCCCTTCCTCGACGCTTTGTTGCTGGGCTGGACCTCGATTCTTGCAGCATCTCCAGAATTTCGATTCAACGCTTCCGATCTTTTCTCAGCTCTCTCGTACTCGGATTCCGATCCATCGGAAACGAGCCATCCATTTTCGCCGATGTTACTTTGCCTGTAAACTCGATTTCTTGGGTTTGGGTCTTTTGGGGTGTTGGGGACCTGGTCCAGCAGCTCCGCGTTAGGCTGGATTTTCGACCCACCGTGGTTCTGGTTCCTGAAATTATTGCTGTTCTCCAGTCTCAGTCTCTGTTTGGACTCTTCTTCGGTGATTCTTAGAGCAGCAACTTCGCTAGATTCTGGCTCGCTGGAGTCATCTTCTTGAGACTCGTCAGTGGTGTTGCTCGACTCGGACCCACCGTTCTCCACGTTCTCCACGTTCTCCAAGCTGCTTCCGCTCCCTGTCTTCTTCAAGGCTCTTTGAACCCCGTCCAATGAAGTTATCCCACTAGGTTTCCTCGCCGGACCTCCATTCACCATTTTAGAACCGTTCCTGGCCAGCTTCGAAGGTTCCACTAATTTCGAGTCGTCACTCTTCAATCCCCCGTTCTTCAGCTTCCGAATTTCGCGTTTCTCCACCTCGTCAGCCTTATTCACCTCCGGACCTCCCTTTCCGATTCTCCTGTTCCTGGAACTCCTTTTCTCGGACTGCACCTCCATCTCTGTGACCACCCATCCATTGTCATCGAACAAGCTGTCGAGATCCTCTTTCTTCTTACTTCCTTGCCTCTCTAATTTCTCCCTCTTCAAGATTTCATCGGGTCTCTTCTCCTCGTCGTAAGATTCCGAGGACTCATCCCCGTTCCCGAGATTTTTTCCAACATTTAATTCTACTCTGAGTTCCCCAGATGGGGTGTCTTCGTCTTCCTCGTCATCATCCTCGACCTCCCGCCTAACTCCACCGTCAGTAGCCATCGTGGCGTTGCCTTCAGTCTCTAAATCTCTATCTTTCCCTGGACTCTCGTCCTCGTCATCCTCATCTTCCTCCTCATCCTCGCGATTCCTAGCGCCAATGTCGTTAGCCTCGCTTTTGCCTTCCACGTCAGTCTCTAAACCTCTATCGCTCCCCGGATGCGACCCCTCTATCCCTGAGACCCTGAAGATCGGCTCGTTCTCGACACCGCTAACCTTAGTCGCGCTATCCTCGACACTATCATCGCCCGATGACGCTAAGTCGCTTTCGTCATTAACGGCCCTAAAACGATCACCATCCAGGGGGTTATTGGAATTAGAGCTCGGGTCTTCACTGGTGTGATTGCACTCTACGAACCTGCTGGTGTAGCCACCCGGGGACGATGTTCCTGATGGGGATGAGCTACTCGTCGTGGTCGTCGTCAGTGGCGTTGTCGCGGTCGGCGTCGGGTGCGTCTTCGTCGTCGTCGTCACGGGTGGCGTCGTGCTCGTCGGGGATGACGCAGATTGGGCGGGACTCCCTCGAGGGGTTGAGTATCTAGATGCGACAAAATAGGTTAACGTTTCCTTCTTTGAACCCTCTTCAGGACTCGAGTCTCCTGAAGAGCCTCGAAGGACCTCCTGCACCTTGACGACGCCTATCGTCAACTTCGCTACCCTTTTGCCCAAAAATTCTGAACATTCTATACCTACGTCTTCAAGGTGCAGGCATCCTGGCCTTTTTCTTTTGCGGAGCCATTTTCAACCGAGCCTGGTACCAACTACCATCTCGGTACTCCAAAAAGGCATTGTTAAGCAAGAACTTTGACGTGGTTCGTGAGACTGACAGAGAATTAAGATTTCGGTTCACCTGGTGAAAGAGTCGTCGCTCTGTTGTGTCCTGTCTTTGTTCCTCGTGCAAGGGCGTGCATATTGTACGTGTCGTGTTTTCCGTGAATGTTCCGTGGATGGAATTCGAAATTTTAATAAATCGCCGAGGTGCCTTCGAGAATATTTCGGGGGCCTTGGAAATGGTATCTAAAGTTCCCAAGGAGAGTTTGACCAGCGATTCTATCGGAATCGATCTTGGGGCATTCTCGAAGACGCCGTTGGCGAATCTAGCAAGTGGTTGGACGAGATTCAACTTGAAATAAATTTGGATTCACCTAGCGGAAGGGGAGTCTTCCTTGCTGCCGCGTCTCGCTTCCGCGCTGCGCGCAAGAAGAGGGCCGATGTCGGTCCTCGCCATTGCGGATTCGCTCCTATGTCGGTCCTGGGATGCTGGAGGGTTGCTGGGGGTAGGATTAGCCGGCTGGGCTTCGGCTTCGGATTCCTCCTCGGTCTCCGACTCGGTTTCCTCGGAGGAACTGCTGCTGGTCTCCTCTTCTTCCTCCTCTTCCTCCTTCTTCTTCGGCTCCTCTCTAGCTACCGGAGCCGGCGGTGGAGGGGCCGCCCGATTTCCTGTTTTTTCAACACAACAATCGGTCGAGGATAATTCTGGTCTCCAGGGGGAATCTCGATCTCGAGGTGCTTCGGCTGGACCGGTCGAAATTCTCACCTGCGCCTAAAAAACGACTCTGGAACGGTCTGGGACTGGTCGCGGGGCCGGTGGAGTCTCTGCTGGGGGTGCTGGTGACTCCTGGGGCCGACGTCACCGTGGTCGTTGTGGAGACGTTTGTCGGGGCCCTCGACAGGTACTTCTGCTTCATCTCTTCGGCCGTGAAGGACGCACCAGTGTTGCGGATCCCAGAACCTGTAGAACTCTCAGATCCTGTACTGGAGTCGGAGGATGCGCTTCTCGCACCTGGTGCGTGACCTTCCGTCGAGGTTCTCCTGCTGGAAATAAAATTGCAAACCGGGTCTTCATCGATGTCATCTCGTTCTAACTACTAGGTGATGGCTCCTTCTCGACCCATCCTAAAGTTCTCTTCTGAAAATCGCTTGAAATCCATGTTAAATTCATATTTAATTCTCTTTTAGGGTTAAAAAGGCTATCTTAAGGAGCGATTAGGAAATAACTTATCAGCTCGTCAAGTTACCTCGCAATCGGGGTTCTTCGAGGTGGTTCTTCAGGTTCTCGTTCCTGGGTTTCCCTGGGAGTTGGATGGGTGGGCGTTGGGGTTGTTGCTGGATGTTCCTCCAGCGTCTCTGCGGGGGGTGGAGCGTTCTTGTTCTGCTTCTTGATCCTCGAGATCTCGTCGTCCTCGCTGACTTGTCTGGCCACTGCCGTCGGCGTCTTCCTGACTTGGACCTGCAGCACGCAGAGTGGACCAGTTGGTTCTCAGGCGAGATTATTCCCCGAGACCCTTTTTCGCAAGATGGAAGTACCTTCGCGACTCGCGTCGGGTGCAATGCGCAATTGGATAGAATTAAAATTCGAGACAATCGCAAATTATGGTTTCCTTCTAGTTCTGTATTTTTCCCAGGGTGAGATTACCCTCGCTTGAATTTTAATACTTATCCGAGGGCGGTTAAACGATCGCACAGCTACCCTCTAGAGGGGGTTAAATCCACGTCCACAATTGCACACTCCAGCAACACTCGTACATACACTGGGCAGAGGGGTTTAGGGCAAACCAAGAGCGTCACTGTTCACATGTAAGACCCGACACCATCCCCTGGTGAGAGTCGACGGTGAATAAATAAGAAACCAGCTCTATTATTAGTCGATAACTAGGAAACGAGTGCAGGCCCCAGCATGCTGCATTGAATCAACGTTCGAACTTATTTTTCGATGGGTGTGGGCCGTCTAAGGAGGCTTGGCCGCTCTGTGTGACCAGCTAGAGGCGCTTACACATGGAATCTTGGGGTAATCACTGTCAAACATAAATTTCCATCTTCGTTACACCAGTTCGATGCCGACAAGGGTCGAGTTCTAGACCTGAGTTCTGGACCTGGGTTCCTGATCTCAGGTCTGGATCTCATCGGGACCTCATCCGGATCTCGAATCTAGACCTCGCGTCGTCTTAACACCGACCATAAGGTGAGACGATAAGAGGAATATTCCTGATTGGCGTCGATGGAACCAGGGCTCCGGGACCAGGACTCCCAGGACCAAGACTAACTCCTCGAAGGTTCCTCGCTTTCGCTGACCTGAGGCTTTGGAGCTGGAGGCTGGGGCTGCTGAGGCTCGTCTTTCTTCCTCTTGACGGCCCTCTCGCACTCTTGCAGCTTCTTCATCACCCTCGGAGAGTCCGTCAGACGGAAGATCCCGGAAAGGGGTCCTCTGGCCGCGTCCTCGGTGTCCAGGACGCGTTCCCGAAGACCCTGAGACTGCTCCTGAGGGGTCGAGGTGAATCTCACCGTGGATCTGGAATCCCCGTCCGAGTCGTCTCCATCTCGATGTCTCATGAATCGACTTCGGTACCTCGACTTGTTCCTCGGTGGCTCGTACTCCGGGGCGTCGTAGCTGGAAGTCAGGGGAATTAATCGCGACCGTCACCTGGGGATCGGTCGACCTCCTCGCCATTTTCCCCGGCCTTTTAGTAAACCCCCCACGGGCAGAGGTATTCAAAGGAAGCAATCGTATTTATAACTATTGCCAAAATAGATATGTGGGTCATTCTAAAAAACTTATCCCGCCTGCTGGTTGGCCCGGGTCCAACGCAATCTCGGACGCAGATCGAAGGCCCCTTTATAGGTCATATTGGCCTTTGGCGGTTTCCTTATTTACTCGCCTCGCCCTTTTTACTGCTTCTCCTTTCAAGGTCCGTTTTTCATACGATACTATACCAATTAAACGACTGATAGTTACTCATAGTCGGGGACGTAACGGTTCCTGGAGAGGCGGTCTTCGTCCTGCCGATACTGGGAGGCGAGGCGGTGGTCGCTTTTGCTCCTCATCAGACCAGGGGATCCCCCAGGAGGTGCCAGTCCACCTGTACTGCCTAGCAGCGCCCCGCTTCCGGTTTCCGGCTTGATGTTCAGTTCTCCATAACCAGCCACGTGGAGAACCAGCTGATTGGGGTCGTGGGCCATCACGAAACGCACTCGGCGGTTGTAGTCACCGGCCTCGTACTCGAAATTTCTGCAATTGCGAGGTCATTGTTAATTCTTTTTTTTCTTTCTCTCGTAGGGGATTTTTTAGCTTCGGGATGTTTACCTGATGAACTCCACCGTACGCAGGAAGAGCTCCTTCGTGTCTAGCAGTTCTGCATCGTCCCATGGCACGTTCTCGTTGATGTGGGCCTCCGCAAGGTCGCAGTTACTCTGGATGTTCGCGATTTCTAGCTCCAGGTTCTCTTTCAGTTGGATCAGACCTCGCAGTTCTGCTCCTAGATAACGATCGACCTCGTTCCTCAAGTGCTCCGTGCGGTCCTTAAGGGCTTTGCTCAGCCTCCGATATATTTCGTCGACCTCTTCGGCAACCGATGCACAATTCGTCTGCAGACCCAGGGTGTTCTTCTCCACCAGTGCCAGGGCATCCTGAAGGCGATGCAGACCTCTTCGCACCTGTAATTGAACACAATAGAATTACGAAATGCCACGGGAATAGTAATTTTCTTGGATTTTCTAGGATTTTCTTCTCCCCTATTTCAGCTACCTTCAGGTCATGTCAGATCTGTGATCAGATCGAACAAATGTTTCGGGCATCTTAAAAAATTATTCGGCCTCAAAATCATCGACCAAAATTAACAACTAAACCTCCTTACAAAATTCTGAAATATCGCTTAACTTTTAATTACCGAAAATTCCAGCCCGCAACTAAAAATGTCGAAGTAAGCCGAATTTCCTTCCTTATAGGTTAATAGGTCGGACTACCATGAACATCTGGATTTATTGTTAACCCTTGTCTGTTAATTAGGGAAATTAACCCAGAATTTATAGAACAGTGCTTGAAAGTACACAACAAGTACAGGGCTCTGCATGGATCTCCGGATCTGAAGATCGAGGAAGAGGTGATCTATACTCCCAGGACATGTCCATTTATTTTTTAAATCTGCTTCCCTCGTTTTACTCAATTATGTTCTCGGCATATTTTTTAGCTGAACAAATTCGCGCAAGAATGGGCGGAGAGCCTGGCAAAGCAGGACAAAGCAGAGCACAGAGATCAGGATCAATATGGAGAGAATATTTATGCAATGTCGAATACCGATCCTGAGTGGAAAGGAGTGCACGCCGAAGATGCCGTAAAATCCTGGTCAGAATTTCTGCAGGCTATCGGGAAATAAATTTTGGGGAAAAGATATTTTTTACGCAATTTCTTCTTCATACCTCGCCTAGGTACGACGAGGTCGCTCTGTACAAGTTTGGCGAAGACGAGCCAAAGGATCTGACCGAAGTGGGACATTTCACTCAGGTGGTGTGGAAGGAAACGCTAAAAGTAGGAGTCGGCCTTGCAACGAGCACTGGAGGTACCGTGTACGTGGTCTGCAATTACGATCCACCAGGGAACGTCGTTGGCCAATTTCCAAAATCGGTCCCGCCTTCCAAGGTAATGCTTCCGATAAATTCTACGACCTACGAAGGAGTTCCCGTCGACGCTCCGAATTCTTCGCCATTTTCGCCTTGCAAAAAAAGTCCCGAAAATTCTCGACAAAATCCAAAATGCTTCCCAATACCAGACTGCTGCGACCATTTCCAGTAAATTCCCCGGCCAGAGAAATGAGAACTCGACTTTTCCTCACTTTCTTTCAGGTGAGGTCGAAAAAGAGGAAAAGGTCCGCCCCAGGGCCTGGTAAAGCTAAACGAGGCCAATGAACATTAGAAACAAAAAAAGAGAAAAAAAAACGAAAATATGAGAAATCACACCCTTACATATTTAGTTTGAAATTAAATAACCGTTCAATGTCCGTGATTAAAAATGCCAAATTGTGGGAAATACCTGCGAATTGATTCGCGCTATCTCGCGCCTGAGAATGTCCATGTGCGCGTCCTTGCACTCCGGGCAGCACTTTTTCTCGCAATGGACGCAAAGGGAGCAGTAGCTCTTTTCGGAGCATACTCCACAACGTTCCATGGTTTGTCCACTTGTAGGGTCCGGCAATTCCCCGGTGATCTCTATGTGCAATTCCAAAAATCTCTGCAGCGTGACGTTCGTCGGGAACGCCTGGACGCCCTGAAAGGAAAAAGACGCAACAATTTCCCAGCTTTCTTCTCGATTTATGGAAAAAATCCAATTTAATTCGTTAACCGGTGAGGATAAAAATTCGAGCAATTATTTTCTTTCAAGTATTCTCACCTGGTAAGGTATGCGATGTTCCGCTCGACATTCCGGACACTTGACTTGTCGACGTACATAGTCCACCAAACCGTCCATGCATGGTTCCATGCAAAAACTGTGCTGGCATGGTAGCAGTTTTGGATTTCTGTACCGGTCCAGACAAATCGCGCAGGTCAGCAGTTGTTCGAACTGCTCCATGCTCTCTGAAAGCATGATATTAATATTTAACCTCGTACTCCCTAAGCCGATGTCTTCGGTCCTCCGCTCTATTTTCAAGCTCCGAGTTATTAGTCTGTTACTTTTTTCGCGTGGGTCGTCTGACGTCTTGGGGTTCCCCTCTAGAAAAATCGACGCGTCTCGATTATCCTTCAATTCTATATATATACATATATGTAAAAGCTAGCATTCGGTACACCAGAGTTTATTTTAATAATCTCCGCCTTCTCGGATTTTGCGTCAATGTCGCGGATTTATTTCCAGCCCCCGCCACGTGCGACATTAACTGCGTAGGACGTTCGGAGATACCGTCCGCCATTTTGGTACCGCTACCAAGAAGGCATTCATCCCCTTTTTTTAACCAGAATATCCGAGTTTGAATTTTTATTTTAATAATCTCTGCCTTCCCGGATTTTGCGTCAATGTCGCGGATTAATTTCCAACCCTCGCCACGTGCAACATTAACTGCGTAGGACGTTCGGAGATACCGTCCGCCATTTTGGTACCGCTACCAAGAAGGCATTCATCCCCTTTTTTCACCAGAATATCCGAGTTTGAATTTTTCTTTCGAAAAATTAAATCGACCCGTCTTTGTGACTAAAGAGTAGGCGTCAAGTTTCACCGAATTGTGGCGATTTTACAAATTTCCAGCATTATTATCGCTCTTGGATAGTACTCGAGTTATTCGACGAGATTAATCCGAGTAGAGTATAATTCCCGAAATTCTCGCGTCTTCCTCAGGGTCTTGGATTATTCCTAGACCTGACCTCGTGGAACATCCGGCTCACAGGGACGTTCCCAATATCGACGCCCCCTCATCGATAATCCCAGACTTTGCATTTATAGTTAACAACGCTTTAGCAATATCCGTGGCAGTAGACAGTCGAACAGAATGCCTTCCCATCAGAAACTAGGGACCCCACATCCTGGGGAAGGCATTCTAAAATATTCCAAGTACCATCGCGATCCTGAACGCCACGCACAAAGAACAGTGAACAATGCGCTCCACTGATAAAAAGAAAAAAAAAAGAAGAACAATTACGCTGATCTATTTAGAGCGCATTTATCTGCCCAACCATTATCTCGAAGTAAAGTCAAGAACCCGCAACAATGACGCCCGCTGTTTTCCCAAAGCGTCACGTAGTTTGTTTCTTTGTCGCCGCGTCTTCCTCGCGAAAGATGTCGCGCGAGGACAAAGAGCAACCTTGAAAAGCGCTGCCGACGACCCAAGCGTCTAAAGTTCCGAAATAATGAGAAATTCCGATCTTCCCTCCCTCTCCTGCTTTTCGGCAACCTCAAAAGAAAGGCCAGACCACGTGCAAACGTTCCTTCTCGAAACGCTCTCTGCTGGCAATTTCGAAATTCGGGGTGCACGGCCTTTCGAGTCAAAGACACGTGTCTCTATAAATAGCCGGCGAGTAAAGCGCCGCGGAAAACAGCCGCGTATCTGGCGCCCTGCGCATTTCCCGGCCTCGCCGGAGTACTCGAAAAGATTCCCCGTTCATCGGGGAAGATACTGGAATTTTTTCGGATTTTTTCGAGCGCCCCTAGGCTGAGAAAATCGATTTTCTTCGTCGCGCTGGATTTCGACCGCCAGGCGGCGCTGCGCTCGCCGCTACATACCGTTGGAGCCGGCCGACAGCCAATCGCGAACGCTCTCGCGGGTCCAGGGGAAATGACACGCCCACGTGGAAGGGACCGAGACGAAGGGCCGATTTTATTCTAGGATGCACTCGAATTCCCGAGTTTTCGCACTTGGCTTCCACTTCTCTGGGATTCCCCGGTTCGCGTACTTCAGTCCGAGACCCGCAAGAGGGCGCTGCGCCGCTTAGCTGCGGATTTCGCGGATATCGATATCTCCAGCGGCCCGCGGAACCGGACACTGATATACTGAAGGAGGTGGCCGCCGGTGCCGTGCGGGTCTCGTTTAAATTTAGACGGAAGCGCGTCCCGGGGGGCAGGGCGAGACTTCCACTTTTCCAGCGGCTTATTTTCAACCTTTGCCACTCTTGGACCGGCGCCAAGACAAGGAGAGCTACCCGAGCGCCGGAAAGTGGTACCGAAAAATGCTCGCGGTTCCACTTTGATAAATAATATACATCGATCGCTTCCCACCTCTAGGACGACCTCGATATTTCCTTCGGTAACTCTCTCTCTGGACCGGTACATCCAGTTTGCATCCCATTTTCAAGATTCTCCGGGTTAAATTGATAATCCGCGGAAAGTGGAACCGCGTCTTTTGGGAGGACTCGGCGCAGCGGCCTCTTGGAATCTCCCGGTCCGAATCACTGGTGCTGCCATCCCTCTTGAAACGGGAGAAGCTGGTTCAGAATCTGGACTCCGTCGGTACGTGGTTCAGAATTCCTTGAAATTTTCCATGCTACCGACAAAAGGGAACGAGTTGCACGACGCGAACGGCGAAGCCTGGAACTACGAAGTGAGACGGCCAAACGCCACCGCTAGATGGCGCTACCAGTCATTTCCGCGGATATAAAAGAAGATTGGAACGACCTTTCGAAACGCTTTCCCTCGATTGAGGATCTGAAAAGCAGAATTTAGACGAAAAAAAAAAAATATGGAAGAATCTCGAAGATTTTGGCGAATGAGTGTCACGATAAGTAAAGACGTTCAGAGGTGCGTCCTTCGGAAAGTCTGCACGCCGAAGGCTTAGTGATAATCCCGGGGCTATTTATCGAAAGATAAGCCCGGGGGCGGAACTTATTTAAAGAAAATCCGGAAAAATGTGAATTGGCACGGATAAGGCAACCGGAGTTAGCGGATCGTCGGGGGTTACGAGCGCGGAGTTAGCGCTAACCGTAGAAGACGATCTATTTACGACTTGCGAGAGTAGCGCGGCCAGAACGGACTATTTCGAACGACTCCGAAACGTCTCCGAGAGAGAGGGACACCCGATGGAAAGCTCTTAGGATCGGAGCGTTTCCCACGAGATTTGCCAGGCCCGGAAAATATTCACCGTTTTCGGGTTAACTGGGCTCGGCTTAGCTGGTCGTTCCGGGGTTTTAGCGGGAACACGGCTCCGAAGCTTCTACCGAGTGCTTTCGAATCCACCTCCGAGTTTAAGTCGAAGTCTCGTTAAGCCGTAGCATTAAAGCGGATCTGTAATGCTGCCCCCTGCCCGTAGTAATTTACCCGTTTACCGGGTATTTATTTAACAGTAAATATCCTTCAACGACCGACCATCTTCCGGCCTGCCCAAAGAGGGAACCGCGGGTACCAAAATGGCGGCTCCCAAGAACACCTTCGAATATCTCTATTTATTCATGAATTTTTCATCGGAAATTTCAGCCCGAGTTACCGTAAGCTCTCGGATTAAATGAACCCGTAATACCGGCGTCGTGCGAGAGTAATTTATCGGCCCCCCCCCCCAATTACTTTCCAGGTATTTATTACCATTTAATAGCGGCCCCCGTAATTCCGAGAGGGGGATTTATCGGTTCTCCGATGATTTTACAAGTATTCACTGCCACTTCGTGACGATCCCCCGGGAGAGGAGGATTTCCCGGTCCTCTGGTTCCACTCGAAATGTTTATTGCTATTTATTAACGGCCGTTTAATTCCGGAAGTGCGCCGCCTCTGGGGAGGGGACAACAAAATGAAACCACCGCCGCTCCTCCGGGCGAGTTTCCCTCCTGCGCTTTTGTGTTTATTCATTTTTCTATTCAGCTGAGTTTAAGTGGAAGCTTCGTTAAGCTCCTGTGTTAAAGCGCAGCGGCCGAGCCGCCCGAGGGTGAAAATAAATTATTGCCCTCTTCCTCTCCTTTTATTTCCCGTTTAATATCTCCTTATAACAATTTAATACCCCCCCCTCCCCGATTTTCCGCAGGCGAGAGACCGAAACAAAATCCACGTTTCGAGGACTTCCTCCGCGGATTCTTTTTTTCCCCGCGCTTCAGAGGTTATGTCACCGTTCCCAGCGATTATTAATTGTCATTTGGACGCAATTATTCCCATTCACGGAAACGGAGCCCGGAGACGAAGTCTCCACCGCGCCAGGGAACATTATAAATTCATTTCCTTCCGGGATGCTTATTTATTTATTTTCCTTTTTTTTTTTTCTTTTTCATTTGCCCGCTTTCAAGTGGGGCCTTCGTTAAGCCGTTGCGTTAAAGCCGAGCGACCGACTCGAGAAACGAATTAAGAGCTTTTCTCACCATTCCTTTCTTTAATCTCGCCCTAAATTTCCCCCCCACCTTGCGACGTACATTATCATGTTAATTATCATGCGTTTAAATCGACATTTCATCCGCCAGATACGTGAGATACGATTATAACGATTTTACTTTTGATTTATTGCGACTTCTCGTTTTGAGGATTTCGGGGACTCCAGGATATCTTTTGAAATCTTTTCTTTTTTTTTTTTGATAAAAACGCCAAGGAAGTTCACTGCACTCGGGGGCAATCACGGCTCTGATCCGCGTCGGAAAAAAGTCCCCTTCCGTTGCGTATAAACCCGAGTGGTTACGGCTGTAAAGCCGCGGAATAGAAGGCCGCGTTTAACGGCCTTTAAAACGAGACGCTTATAATGGCGGCCGGTTAAGGAAATTGCGCGAAACGGTCGCGAGAAACACGGAAAATAAGCATGACAATGTCGAGCCGCATCCCGGGGCCATTTCCTGCGCGGAATATCCGTCTTCCTCCACCCTCCCCTTTTTTCCATTTAATTCGGCCTCTGAATCGCAATTTTTTCGTACACCCCTCTGGAGAAGAATTTGGCGCGGAACTCAAGCGCGCTCGAGACGGCACCCCGGGTTTCTATACTTGTCTCGACCCCTTCATGCGGAGTTTTTCATCGTTACAACCGAGCCAAATGATCGATATTAATAAATGAATGAAATAGTCTCTTACCCTCTCTCTCTGCGCCGCCTTAAGGCGGTCTCTCTCTAGTTGGGGCCCTCCTGTTCGGGCCCCAAGTCGTTGCACTTTGGGCCACCAAAATCCGGCGCTGTGTCAGCTGTAATTCAAGCACTTGTCGTTAAAAATGATTAGGAAACCTCCTCTCCTCACCCGGAACTTTTCACTGGCAACTTATTAAAGGACATTTCTGGGAGGACGGGAGAGGACGTAAAGAACTCCCGGCGTTTGGGTGTCGCCCCAAGAACGTTTTTCGCAAAGAAGAAAAAATAATTAAAATTTATATTAAGTGTTAATTTTTTGTTTTATCACGTCAGTAGGCTCGTCATTGCACCGGAAGTTTCTGGATCTGTGATATCCGACACGAGTCGCTTTTCGGGGGAATTTTAAAATGACAATTGACGTGTCATGAACTAGAGATCACCGCGATGGAACGCGTCTTGCCGGCCAAGCCTTCTAATTAGCCTCTTCTTGTCTCCGCCATCTTTTTCCGCGTGCTAAGAATAGAAGGGCGACTTTTAATCGTACCTCGAGATCTCTTACGTGCAACGCAATGCAAGTCTAAACCCCGAGCCATTCTGCGAGGTTCGATGAACCCCTAATGCGTCACAATGCGTGTGCCGTGAGATGGAGCCGATGGACGCAAAAAAATATGTACAAAGATAGGTACCGAGAAAGAAAGACGATGATAACGATTAAGAGACGACAACGCCTCTCCTTCCTTCCAGAGTAAAAGAAGACCACCTAACGCCACCGAAGTCAGGGTCGAAGACATATTTTCTGGGGCATTTTAGGGTCAAGGTCACTGATGGTACCAGTTAAAAAGAGATTTCAGACAAACCAGCCATTTGTTCTGGACCAAAATTCAAGGTTAAGGGAGCCGAGAGCGATTCCCTTAGAATCGCGACAGGGGAGTGGACGAGGTGGCCTCGACGAGCGCCAACCCGTATGGAAAGGATCCGATTTTCTGCAGAACCCTTCCAAGATATAAAAAAAAGTCCCAAACGAATATTCACCCCTTAATCATGCCCTACAACTTTTGTAAGAGAGATTTCTCTGGGAAACGGACCCTCGCTCTAGGAAATCGCGTTTTCTGAGAGACCTCGCGGGAGGATCTCCAGAAACCCGGCTGCGCCACCGTTGGCGGAAAACCGAAGCGTCACGGATGGTCGTCGGTTTGGATGCACCAGGAGATAGGGAAAGAGAGAGAGAGATGAAGAAAGCACCCGAGGGAGAGAGAAATTAGATCGAGTAATTGGACACCAGGTGGCCATATTAGAACTGCCCTCGGGACGCGTTCCTCTCGGCGTCCCGAGGCGGCCGCCATCTTGGCTGGCACAGGGACCGGCATCTCACCATCACCCTCTCGCTTCCGACGTAAAAGCGTCGCGACGCCTCTCGAGTACGTGAATCGCGTCGGCTTGGCCAGCCGGACCCGTTTTAGTATCGAAGCCGGACGCCGGCCGGATTCGGATTATCTAACACTTAAAATTAGCAGGCACGTCAATAGGTCCGACGGCGCCGGGATGAGACTTCTGCAGATTTCTCCAAAACGAGAGGCCGATATCCTTCGACGTTCCGTCACATCGAGGAAGATATTCTCCCGAATTGTGAACTGCTGGCCAGACCCTTACACTCGTGTCGGTTTAGAAGTGATTGGTATTTTGCCCCCTCACTAAGAAGCCGACCGCTGGGGATTCCAATATGGCCGCCGCGTCATTGGTCAGCTGGAAGCCCCTGGAGAGAGGAAATGCCAAACCATGGAGTGCGACACATCGAATCGAGCTCAATTTTCCCGAGGATTTCGAATATCCTCGCGGTTTTCGAAAATTCCAGGATTTCCTTCGCGACCTTCCTTTATTTTCCCACGGAATTGGTCCCTCTCGGCGTGAAGATTAACTTGGCACTCGATATCACCGGACTTGGGATCCGGGAATTTTCCGGGATTTCCTCGGAACCGCCACTTATAAACGGCGCCACTGTTTCAAGATCGGCTTCGAGGGCTCAGTGTGTTGCCACAGTTTCACTTGTTCACCCAAATCGCGAGATTAGCCGCGAGACCACTTGCACTGAGTCGCTCGCACAGGCTCGACGAGTTCTCCAAGATGACACAGGGGCCTTCTATTGGCCAGCTGGAACAGCTGGAGAGGGGGAACCTGACACGTCAGATGGAACCGAGATGTCCCGAGGAATCGGAGTATTTCCACGGTTTATCTTCTCCCTCCTGGAATTTTCCCTCTATCCACCCCCGCGCGAGGTCAACTCTAATCCCCGACGAAGCGCTCGGTTCTCTTTCGATAATTTTCTCTTTTCCTCGCGTTTTCCAATCTCTCGGGCGGTCCAGGAAAACTTAAGTAAGGAGTTTGGGGATTTAGGAACGTAGGGGGTGGGCTGGGGGTGGAAGTCCTTTTGGGGTGATCTTTTAAAGACTCGGGACGCACCGCGTTCGCTCCGGGCCGGATGGCCGCCCGTCTAAGAGTGAGTGTCTCTTATTAGTTATTTCGGGAGGGACCACTTCGGGGATCTTCTCCGTCTTCTGCCACTTCTAACGTTAGTAGCTCCTTCTCACTTCCCCTCGCTGGACCGTCCATCCTCTCGCTCCCTTCCCCAGGACCTGCGACATCTACCGGCGCGCCCACGTACTGCGACCTCGGGAGCCAACTTTTCCCCCTTCCGGAATAATTCCACTCGGAAAATTTCAGTCTTAAGGAAAATTTATACTAATTTTACTCCATCGGTTTATGTACAAGGGCCAAGTATGACGGATATTTTGGGACTCGAGTGGAGAGGAAAGGACCTCGGATGAAAAATGCCAAGATGCAGGAATTACCGCCCACGTGTGTTGGATACTCAATGGATCCCGGCGAAAATCCGGGAGGGAAAAATCCAGCTTGAGATAATGGGGTTTTTATGTTTCCTGGAGATATCTCGGGGTACGCCATTTTTTTTTTTTTCAATCGCGGCCCGGTTGCTTCCCCCGAAATCCCTTTCGGGTAGGCCACCACCAGCGATTCCAGGGACCTTTCCATTTCCACTTTGAATAATCGATTATGTTACTCGAGACTGGAGCCTGGCCCTGACGTGCCGTACAATGGTTCCCAGGGGTCGGCGACGACGATCGGCCAAATTTGCCTAACATCCCTGGCGATATACAAATTACGAGCCATCGATCTTCGACCTTCCCTCGGAGCTGCGAAACCCTCTCCCGAAGATACTAAATTCCTGGCCCTCATTAAAGTCTGCAAATTTTTGTTAATTATTGGCCCTCTTTCCGCCAAAAATGCGGCCTCTTCGGCGTTCGTCTTTTTCTCTCACGTTTGGCATGCATCGGTCTGTCTCTTTCCAACACTCCCTTCGCACCAGGCCAGGACGAAAATCGAATTCGATCGGAGTGTCGATAATGGCCAGGGTGATGGGATGCGGAGAGTACGGACCTGCCCAATCTATTTTCGCCCAGGTCCGCGAATTATTTATAACCACGTCAAGTATAGGACGGGCTTATTTCATTCCCGTTGCTAGATAGGCTTCGACCCCCCTGAGTCTCTTCCTCCTTATCACCTGGACACCCTTAACCTGCTACACGGGGGCGGGAAATTTCAAACCTCGAGCTCGGCCTTGAAATTTATTAATAATATTCCCGGCAGCGATACAACGACACCGACCGAAATAAAAAGCTTTGTCGCTTTGTTGTCTGCTTCCGAGCTGTCAAAAGACTGAGTCATTATGCTCTCCCGGAGTCATGGAAACTCGGCCCGATATATTCGGAGTGCCTCAAAAATGGGAAACAAAGGATCCCCCAGGAAATTCTCTGCCCATTGTGTCCGGCCTGGCGGGAAACTCTTTGTCGACTGTTTTTCTTTTCACTGGCCGAGATTTGGAAGTGCGTTTCGGACGATGGAAATGGACAGGCGGGGCGGAAGAACCCCCCTCTTTTTTTATTTTTTTAATATTCACAGTTAATCACTCTAATGAGCGGAAATATGTCCCATGACGCAGGAGGGAATGGAGGATACCGAGGAGGAAATCCACGAGGAAGAGAGGAGGCGGAAACGGGCTGAAAAAATCATTCTTACCCCGTCCACCGAAAAATTGACACCCCTTTTTCTCCAGCCGAAAGGGTACGACTTCTAGAATACATTACATTTTAAAATGATCAATTTAGAGCCGTGTGAAATATTATTGAAATATTATTAGAATCTCTCCGAGGATATTTCAGAATATTAGAGAGACTCGCGAGTGATTCGCGAGTGTCTCCCAGACTGCGGGAAATTCCTTCCAAAAATAGTCCCGACCATCCCTAATCGGTAATTTTAGTCCAAGGTGTAGGTTGCATGACGTAGACAGGAAAACAGGAAGCTATCTCGCGGTCTCGTTGGTCAATCTTCTCCGATTTCTAGACCGTTGATAATACATGTAGAGATTGCGTACACGCGACATCCGACGCCCACCGGTTTCTAAACTCCAAAGTTTGAAAAATCAACAGCATTTGTCAATCCTGGTCAGTCAAAACAATTTTCCTCCGGTTAAAAAGAGGACGGGAAAAATCACTGTTAAATAGAAAAAAAAGCCGAAAGTTGGTCGAATCCCAAAAAGTTCGAAATATTCCGCTCTCTAGATAGGCAGTAGGTTAAGTTGGAAAATCAGTCTAGATCGATTGAAATTAGATTACCAAAAATTAATAACCATTTCAGGGAAGTTTTGGACACATTTGACCGCCTCGAAGCTGTTCCTCACGAGAAACTCCGATTTTGGATGTGCTGGTTGACAAAAGTTGGCGATAAGGCAATCGAATGGCAGTTTTGGATTCGCTCTCATATCGGCTTGATTTTGAAAATCAGCGAATACATGACAATGGCCGAAACCATTGTCGCTGATGAGACAGGACAGGTAAATCGAGAATGTCATAATTCTTTTATTTTTTTTATTTTTTTTTTTTAAGTTAGACCGCACTTTTATGTCGTGGATGATTTGGTCAATATTGTGGAGTAGCTCTTGGGGTGGTGAAAATTTCCACATCGAATGTGGTAACGAGCAATGTCATTTGTGTGTCTCGATCTGGTCTCCACAGCGAATGGGTTTACACGTGTGGGCGTGACAGCTGCTGTCAATGACAGACCCGTTGTCATTACCTGCTGCCTATGTAAAGTGACGTCTATGTCGCGAGATAACTCACGGTCTAAAACTGAGCCAGCATTTTCGGACACGCAGAAATTTCAGTCGAGCAACGAGTCAGCATTTATTATAATCATGAATAATTAACTGTCTATTATTTATACGGCATCCTCAACAATGAACGATTCTATCAGTTATCCAAGTATAATAGAATGACAAGGCCTAAAGACTGGGACCACGTGCTTTTGACAGTTCGATATCGAAGGCTGATTCTAAACATTTGACAATTAATTATCACGCCGTGGTCACTGTCATTGCAAGTGTTCTAATGAATTTATCAATTTTTCCACTTTTTCCCCACCTCGAGAAGAAAAAGCTCGACGCGAATGCGAGTTTCCAAGTGAAGGAGGTTCTGGAGGAAAAATCAGAGGGAATCGAAGAAGTTGCCGAAGAGCTTTCAAGCAACGGTACGTAATGATCTCTCAGGATAATCATCGGTAGAAGAAAAAAAATCAGAAAATTAGTTACATCACTGGCTGGTTGCTCAGCTCCTATTAAAAGCTCGACAGAGGCAGAGCTTAAATCGGAACTTGACCGAGCCGCCATCAGCTGATTTTTGCACGAAATGATTCACTTCATGACCGCCTCGGTCGGTCGGAAAATCTCGATCGGTAAATCATTACCAGCAGATGACGAAAATGGCGAAAGCTCTTGCAAGCTCTACCAAGATGGATGAAAGTCGCAGTCGGAGAGGCTCGACTCCAAGACGTGATCGATCGATCGCGATCGATCTACTTTTCCCCTACCGTTCGGCGTTAATCGAAGCGCACATTGACGGGGGCAAATTTTTTTCTTTTTGTTTTTTTTTTTCAACGTTTCGATTTTGGAAAAACCGTGGGAATAAACGTCCTTCCACCGAGGGTTGCTGGAGTAATTGGATTCCCCTTCGATTTGAATAATTGCTCGATACTGTTTCGTTACAGGCGGGGGGAAACACAGTCGATGTATCGAAAGCGATATATCCTGAGAATAAAAAATAACATAAAATAAAAACGGCGGAAAACCCGGTTTTTCCTTAGGAGAAAAGAATTATTCAGATTCGTAGCCTACCGGAAATCGTATTTTTCCGGAGCGAGGGACGCGTTAAAAAATTATACAGACCTTCTCCTCGCTGATAATTTGTTTAAAAATAGATGAAAGTTTAGGAATACTTCTTTATCGTGATTTCTCAGGCATGGATGCGCCGGAAATTGTTGCAGCAGTTGCAGAGAATAAAGGCGAGGAGGCAACTGGAAGTGCAATTCAGGATGAAGTCGCAGTAGCCGAAGGGGCCGAAAAAGAAGTCGAAGAAGAGGAGCGACCAGAAGTTGCCGAAGCAGAATCTGCGGACAAAGAAGACTCGGATTCCTCCAAAGACGTGACGGAAGGAGAAGAGCAGGAAAAACTCGACGAAGCCGAAGATTCAAAGAGCCTGTGGCCGATTGGGATCCCCTGGGAGCCGAAAGAGTTCAAAAGAGATCTACAGCCCTCGGAAAACCTCAAACCGGAAGTGAGCTTAAATTCATGGGAAAAAATGGTAGTTAAAAATGCCGAGGACTCAAGATTCAATTTTTAATTTCTAACCGGAGAAAAATAACAAAACGAAAGTGCGCTAACATTAGTGGGAAAAATCCCAGCCAGAAATGAGCAAGACTCAGGGTTTAATTTTTAATTTCTAACCATCGGGACAATTTGTAAAAAAATAAAATACTTACTCGGGGTCAGGTCGAGTAAACGAAGAACTAAGGGGTTGAATTTTTCAAGATTTAAACCCGAGGAGAGAAGCGAATCCCTCGGGACTCGCAGCTAATCGGGAGTGCGCGGAAGGTGGAGGAAGCGACGTAAATCGGAAAAGGAAAAGAGAAAAGACTCCGGGGGCGACTTTGAGCATTTACTAGATTTCACCCGTGCGTTTACTCGCTCTTACTCCCATCATTTACTCCGCGGAGACACGGGAAATCCCGAGGGAAAGAACCGTAACAGGAGCGGGAGTTGTCCGACTGTGCTTTGCTCGATAGGAGCCGGAGAGACCGATAGCTTTCGACGGAAATTAAAGGGAGGGGGACGGGGAATCACCGACGTCCATCTCATTAGAAAAGAGTTATTGTTTAGTCCGACGTGCCTCTGCTCCAGGAAATCCCGGTCCCAGGGAACGAGGAGGACATGCTAAAGTTGATCAAAGCTCTGCGCCATCAGGCCACCGTGTATAGATCCCTGTACAAGCATTGGACAGAAATCGCGGACAGAGTAAGTTTCCCGATTCGATTTTTTACCCCCGGGACCTCTTACCTTTGATTTTGTCATTTTTTTCTGGATATTTAATGAGCGTTTCCGAACAAAAAAAAAAGGATTTTTGGGTGTCTGATTAATCCCATACACTCGCTCGCAGGTGACTCGAGACTTGACCAATCGGATGATCATGGAAACCGAAGAGGTCTTCACCTCCGAAGAGGAGCCATACTTCTTCTACCTAGGGGTCGACCCAGACATCGACATCGGGATAGAATACGATGACGAAGAAATTTTGCTCCCAGATCTGACCAGGGAGAGGATCACGCACGACTTTCGCCATCTATATTTCAACCTGATGGACAAGCCAGGAAAAGGGGGAAGACCATGGATATGAACCCCTGAGGAGTCCTGAAAACAAGGAACCCCTTTCCATCCCGGTAATTGCAGATAAAAGTCATCGGACCCCTCGAAGTGCCCTCCAGAGAAGTCGCCAAAGAACCCCTTGGAGTCCTTTAAACATTTCCGGCATTTCTTTAGATTATTTAAAGTAATCCCTGGTAGACCACGGAAGGCTCACTTGGTAGATTAACTTTTTCCCCTGGCCCAGGGAATTCTACCTCGTTAACGCAACGCTGCAGGCTTTTTCTGCCGATTGCTCGTTAGCGGGCGGTTCCTGTGTCCTTTTTCTTTATTTCAGCCCCATTAACGTGACGTTTCTCTCCCCTTTTTTCGGGGATTTCAGGCTCAGGCCAGGAAAAGGTGGGAGTCTTGGACGTGGTCGCCTGTTGCATCTGGGAAGCAGCAGTTCCAGGTTTCCTCCCTTCACCAGCTTCAACTTCGGACACGTCCGTGCCGATTGCGAAGTGGCCCTGCAAATTGGAGATCGAGGTCGACCTGGTATCCTATAATGCGACCTCGTACTACACGGGATGAATTATCAGAGCTGCTCAGCCCAGGAGGCTACAAATCACCGGCGGAGTTACTCGGGACGCACGAGTGCAAGTAATTATGTTTACGGCGAATTAGCGACGATTAGGAAGCTCGATTCTCGGCCGAAGGAGCGTGATCCTCCTCCCGAAGGATCAGGATATATTAAGTTGAAACCCAGTGGAACGTTAATCGTTCCCGAAATAATCAGGGAAAATAAAACCGAGCGTTGACAATCCGTAAGGTTGGGAGCGAAAGAGATGCACGACGCAGGAAGTGGAAGTACCGTGAATTAAGTCCGCCAGGAACAACTTTCCCAGGAAGAAACAATACCAAGTTCGCCGCGGAGAAATTCCCCGGGGAAGTATGCACCTTTGTGTCAAGAGGGAAGTCTGAATAATTTATGTGCCGGGGGTGTGAAACGCCCCAGAATGGAATTTCTGCGTTTCAGTCCTGTGGGTTCACCGCAGCATAAAGGCGGCATTACTTTAAACAACGTCCAGCATCTAATATAAATATCATATTCCGTAGATATTAATCTCAGGACGATTAGGAAGGTTCAAAGCCCTCCGCGTGAAAATGGAGTCGGGGATATTTTCCGAAATTCCGGAAAAGTGGAAGTGCTTCTCCCACCCCTGGAGGAATCAAGCGGCGTCTTTGTAAGAAAGTTCCCTCGCGTTTCTCCGGATATTATAGCGTCTTTTATTCCTTGTGCTCGCTATAAAATACCCAGGGGGTGGTGGATGGATTCACGCAACGCACGAGAGGAAGAGGTCCATGGGAATAAAGTTTCGGAGAAAGTTTAAAGAAAGCTCGTCGAGCTCGTTTGTTGGTTCGACCCATGGCTCGCACCCCATTGGTGGAGGAGCCCTTCGGGTGCGGAAGTCGACTCGGGCTTCCGGTCAAGAATAATCGCCGACTCCCACCCTCGAAGGGTCTGAAGAAAGGAGAGAGCCAGAGGGAAAGTTTCGTTTACACCCTTCCCTCGGATTCCCCCCTTCCGAAGGGCGGAAAAAGGAGTCCGCAAGAGCCGGCGGTATTTCCGGGCCGGTTAGGACGCCACTAAATCATAGTTTTCCTCGAGGTGCGGACTCCCGGGGTAAAAATTCGGCTCTGGTCCATTTCCCCCGGGACGTTGCCAACCTCTCGTGAAATATGTTGATAAAAGGAGCGGGACAATCGGGAGAAAAAGAAATATCTCCGAGCGACGCGGCATGAATCCCGAAGCGGCCCCTCGTGGGCCGCACTCTTTTTATTTCGCCTCCCGCGCACTTGACGGGACGTGACGATTAATAACGTCCAGTCCGAAACAGGGGAAAGGTGTGGATGAAAAAAGCCTTTTAAAAATACAACCACTGAATTATTCCCACGGTACATAACAGCCCTTATTCGATAAGCTCCGGTGTCAAAGTCCTTCGAAATCCGCGAGCAGGGGGTGCAATTTGGCTTTGAGAATCCTTCCAACCGTCCTCGGGAATTCTCCCTTGTCCAAAACAAAGCGGCGCTCGTTCCGCCGTACGGAGGGATCCTTTCGCCTTTCAACCCTGTCCAGTCCCCCACTCTACTGCCTCCCGACACGGGCGGAGTGGGAGAAGTCCAGCGCGCGAGTGGTGGGGGAAGCCATCCGCGCGGGTGGGAGAAGCGCGGAGGCCGAAGAGTGGGGGAAGCCGGCCGCCCCACTCCGCCGCGCGCCGCGCATGCTCGTTCATTTGGCGGCGAGCCGCTGCTCCGGCAGGAGCTGCCACCACCTCGCTTGGCTCCAGTACCAAGCGGGGATCCCTCAGCTGCAGTTCCAGTACCGGCACGGCGCTCCACGCGAGACGCTCTCTTTCTCTCTCTCTCTCTCTCTCTCTCTTTCTCTATCTCTCTCTTTCTCTCCATTTCTCTTTTCCCCCGCGGCCCTCTCTCTCGCTCTCCCTTCGCGCCCTATGCCTCCCTCTCCCTCCCGCGGCCCCCTCCCCACCAAGCCCGCCGCCGACCGCGCTCGCACCCGAGTCTCCCGCATCCTCTCCCTCTCTATCGCTCCCACGTCTCCTGCACCCTCTCCCTCTCTCTTGCTCCCGCGCCGCCCGCATCGGTCGCTCTCGCTTCCTCCCGCTGTCCAGTCGGTTCGCGGGCTACGCCGGGCGCGTTCCCTCCGATCCTCCGGAGTCTCGTGTCGCGCCGCGATCCGGTGACTCGGGTCTGCCTCTCGACCGCGCCGAATCGCTCGCGAGCGGGATCGTTCGATCGATCGATCGATCCTGGACAATCCGCTCCCGAAGTTTCTCGACTAGCCGACTGTGGGACCCGCTCTCGTTGACATGATCCCCGCCTAGGTACTGACGCTCTGATAATGACTCTCTTATCACTCGTATCGCGAATCTCCACCTCGTAACGGAATTTCAAAAGTTGAAAATTCAGTACTTTGACGTCCCTTAAAGAACTTCATTTTTTAATATTTTTTTTATTTAGTATAGACAGTGCTGGGGAAAGGGTTGGTTCCTTTGGGGGGTTGGAAAATCCCGGATTTTTTAATTTCTTTCGGGTGGGGGCGCGATTGCGACGATACTTTCGAATTCTTCGGGGTAGATTATCCTACTTGAAGATTTCCTCGATTGAGTGGTAATATCGGACGGTATGGTGATAACAGGGAGCGCCGGGACTGGCGTGCGTGATTTCCGAGACATCGCATGGAAATAAATCCCGCGGAGGATTGCCAATCCTGGTACCACCCTTTGGATATTTATTTCTTATTGCCTTATTTCTTTCGTCCTTGCTCAGGCATACCGGGGAGTCGGTAATAACTTAATAATCGATATAACCCGAAGCTAAAAATAAAAGAGAGAAAGAGAGAAATGAAAATCATAGAAAATGCAACCTGCAGGGAAATTGCCCTCGGGGAACTCGGGGGAGCGTAGAATCGTTGAGAATAATTGTTCATAATCGTAAATATAACAATCGACGTGATTCCTAACGTGGAATCAGATTTGAGATAATCTGGTCGAGGGGATTTAATTTTCTCATCGTTTTTCTTTCTCTCAAGAATTTTGAGGAACGCTCGATCACTTGGTTGTTTTATTACGCAAATCGCGGCTGGTTAATCTCTCGTTTGGAGTTAAAAATCTCGTTAACTCTGTCCGATTCATTTGTCAGCCAATTTCGGGAGCCTCGTTCTAATCCTTTGGGGACGAGCCGCCCAGCTCGGCCCATGAAACCGATTGAAAATGCAAAGTGCAGTTCGGATGCAAATCGGGCCGGTGTAATTGCGGTCGGTGAAATAATTGGCAGAAGGAGATTTTCCATCCGGGTAGAAATAAATTCGAAATTTCGGATAATCGAAAGCCGCGTCCCAATCGCTCCCACGTAGAACTTGATCGCTGATCCGAATCCGCAATGGGAGAGATTTAGCGAGTGCGACATTGTTTTTTATTTTTTTTTTAATTTTTTGATTATTTTTTTAATCCCGGTTCCGCTTAAATTATTGCAATCCGCGGCGACAAGTTGTCGACTGAGAATCAATGAAATCGAGAGGCATTGGTGTAAAAAGAATTCTATACACGGAATTAAATGAAACATTTGTTATGTGGGGATTTTCAAAGTGCAGCTAATTTCGATGTCGTTAATATTCCCGGGTGGCGGAGAACCGTGTGGCCGCAAAGTGGACGGATTTCGGGGGAGTGCTCCATCCCGTCCGATTTCCCGTAGATTTTCCGTGTTCCCCGAAGCGGCGAAGTCCTAATGGCTGAAGAAAGGGGCATAGACAAAAAGTTCGACGGAGAGCTCTCGGTCGAATTCACTTTTCCGAGTGAGAAAATGCCCGAACTTCCTCCTACGGGATCCCCGGACATTTATTCCCCCTCCGTTTCGTCACTCCTTCGAGTCGGGGGTTAAAAGCCTCCGACCCTCGGCTTTCCGCCTTCGCCTTTAATTCTACTAAAGTTCGGCTCTTTCTTATTCCCTTAACAAGATCCAGGAATTATTCCCCCCAGTGGGCGGCGCTAGGAAAGGCGAGGGAATGCCGCGGCCAATTTTTCCGACAGTTTTCCGACCACCGCGTCCCCCTGGAATGTCTTAATGCTGGATTAACGACTCCCGGTTTCTTATTCGATTTTCTTCATCGAGTCGTTACGTTTTCTCGCGGGGGCGAAAATTCCCGGATTCACCCGCCGGGAAACTGAGGAAAACCCCCCAGGGTGGCTTCCTCGTGGGAAGTCGTCGCTGAAGAAAATCCCCGATGCTCTCCTCCCGGGTCCTCCGGTTCTCGTTTTCTTTACCCTGGAGCCCAGTCGTTAAAGTGTAATTTGGCGACGATAAGCGCGGCCGCGCTTCCCCGCGCCGTTTGTACGTTCTTGCGGAGCCTCGATAAGGGCCGCGTGCCGCCATTCCGCGGCGGAAAGCCCGTCTCCTCGAGACCAGGGAGAGACCTTCCTCCGGAGATTTTCCAGGTTTTCGGAAGGTTCATCAGCCCCGAGCGGTGCTCTCTTCCCTCCCCGGGAAAGCTCGTTAAAGAGTTAGAACATTTTTCGTTACATCCTCCGGATAAAGAGATTACGCTAAATTATATGCCGGGTAAAAGTGTTATCTACAAAGTCTTCGGCGGGATAATATCCCGGGTAATATTCATGGAATAAAATGAGGTGATAAAAGTTCATCGGATCATGGGGCTGATAAGGAGGATATGTGAACCGTGGACCTTGACAGAGCTTCGAGTGATATCATTCGAGGAATGACATCGTCTGATAAATATTAATCCTGCCCTGTGTCTCATTTTATCGTTTAATCGTTCGATGGTCCAGGGGACCCGGTAAGTGAACAGGTGACGTACCGGGACCATTTTTAACGAGTACCGATTCGTGGGACGCGGACATGGTTCGTGACGTAACCATGGACGCCATGGTGCTACTCCTCGGACCAGACGTACATTTCAAGACCCAACGAGTGACGGGCTCATGGAATGAACGTCCATCGTCGCCCTGACCGCGACGTCCGATGGACATCCGGATGGTTCCCCGAAGACATCCGACCAGCACGCGAATTAGAGTAGTCGTCGGTCCGAATGTGGGTTACGCTAACGAGGGCCGTTAATTGGACACTCGCTAGGAATAAATGGACGCTAATGGGATTTCCGGTTAGCGGTGGCCGCGCCGATAATTCGGATTAAAGTCGGATAAAACCGCTGTAACGAAACCGCGAGATCGGGTGGCGGGGACCTCCACGAGGCCTGGAGATGAGCATGGAGCAAGTCGCTCGCGAGGTGACGATAAGAGCCCTCGTTATCGATAAAGACACCCTGGGGGGGATGGAATTAAGATACAAATAAAGATATTAATTAATGAACCCGCGTTCAGCTGCACTTCCGATTCGTATCCGGCGGTCGCCGTAGGGACGGAATATCCGAAATATCTTTTCATCGACTTTCGATAGACGAGAGGCTCGTTCACTCGTTCTAATTAGATACCAGGTTAGGTGCTCGGTCACCGTGTTACTCCTTTGTGGTGTTCACCCGACGCCGGCGTCGGCGTCGTTCGACGGAGCTCGAAAACCCTAAGTGACGTCACTCGTCGCCTCGTCCTTTTTCACGTTTCCCGCCCTCTTTTCCCCCCTTTTTTTACTTCTTTCCGGGGCCGGCTCAACACGGAAACGCAATTAATTCCTGCTGTTCGGCCGCTCGGCCGTTGCGCCGCGGCCATTTCCCCTGTACGTACCTCTTGTTAATACCGGAAAAAGGGTTATCGAGACGGTACGTCGTACCTTTAACTCGGGGAAAATTTGGAAAAGGGGAGAACCCGCTTTCCGGAGCCCAAGGCAGAGCTTTCAAGTTCCCTCCCCTCTCTTGGTGAAACAACAAGCGGGATGGGAAAGCAAAGTGCAAAGCGAATCGCTCGGAAAAGAAACTCTGCAGTTCCTTCCTTTTCCTTACGTTTCCCTCCCGCTTCGATTTTTCCTTAGGAATATTTTCCGCGTTATTTCCTTTCGGCGTAAAGAAAGGCCCGGAAACGCGGCGGCCCTGTTGGGTTATCGCTCCTCCTTTGCGATATTTCCTCCCACCCCGCCCTACCGAGATTCTCTTTTTATGTTTTTTTCTCTCTCTCGCGCTTCTTTTTTTTTCTCCCCTCCCCCCTTTATCGCCCCCTGCCCGTCACTGTACTCGGGTTCCCTTCGCGCTTGTTATCCAGGATTTTACGACTTCGGAAATACGTTTCTGGCGAGTACTCGCTTGTCGTTCGTACAATGTGTGACATGGGGCCACTTCGACCCTCGCACTTTCTTTTTTTTTTCCACCCTTTTTTTACCACCCACCTCTTTCTTTGGCTTTGCTTTTCCCCTGCCCACTCTCACCACTGCACCCTCGTTCCTGACCTACTCCAAGAAATATCGCGCATTCTCCTTAAACCAGACCGAATTAAATTTCATTAGGCTACCTTACTCGATTCCCTATGATTACAATAAACCTAGGTAACCCTCCCAGGATTTTCCCCCGGTATACCCTCAGATGAGAGATTACTCGGCCGAAATAAATATACATTATCGCCCGAGTCTTACATAATGACAAGAAATAATTTTTTTTTTTCTCCGTCAATCAAATCTTCTACCCTCAATCCGATATTTCTCCGGAGGTATTCCAACAGGATTTTCTTCTTGCAGAGTCGATCCATTTTCTTTTTCTCCTTAGAAATTATAATTAGAAATCTCTCTCGTTAGAAATCGGTGAAACGAAAGTCTTATATGAGTGACGACGTTTCGTTCGAAATTTTAATCATTTGCCAAATCCATTGGAATAAATTCCGGAAAAATGTCATATGTTAATAATTGACTCGTCGAAACGGGGGAGGGAATTCGGAATTTCGGCCAGAGGGGTTGGACTTTCCGCACCCCCCGAGGATCGCCTCGACTGGGTGAGACGGGTTGAAATTCGCCGGCGATTTGTCGGAGTTTCGCCAGAAAGAGGCCGGCTGCAGGTTAGGGGGTGCTCGAGGGCGGTTCGGGGCTTGCGGAAGGGTTTGGAATTCCCTGGAAGCGCGCCAAAGCCAACAAGTGTTTCAACCCCTCTGCGGCCGCGCCACCCCCTCCTCGTCGGCGGGATCGAAGCGACCGATTTTCCTCGTTAGGGGATGGAAATCTAATGCCGCCGACGCGCGACCCCGTCGATGCACTCGGCATAAATAATTCCCCCTATTTAGGCTATCTTTTCCACCCCCCAACCTTTCGGGTTAACCTAACGCCATCCCGCAGTGCGGATGCGTACCCAATCCGAAGCCCCTGATTATGATATCATAAAGAGGGCCGATGAGTGGCGGAATCGAAAGGGGATGAAATCGATAAGGTCAGGTTCGTTAACGTGCGAGAGGGGAGACCCTCGACCTTTGCAGCTTAACGGAGTCCCTAATCTCGATTCCTTTTCGCGAGGAGATCCAGGCCGCCCTCCTGGATTGTCCCTCGATCTAGAAAGCGTGATAAGGCGATTTGATAACAAGAAGACGAGAAGATCGGTCCTTCCCACCCCCGGGAGTTTCGCTCTGGAAATCATGCAATCCCTTGGAAATATTTCGAAATGCGAATATATATGTATATATGTGTGTGTGTGTGTTTTAGAAATGGGCAGACGTTTTTACAGGTACTTCTCTTTTTTTTCAGATTTTTTAAAGCCCATGCAGGGTGGAGGGTGGAGGGCTTCGCGGATCGGACGATCGGTCGCCGGTGATCGATCGATCGATTGGCGTTCGATTATGCAAAGGGCGCGGTGAGGGGCCGGCCGATCGCGGCGTGTCGATTGGTCCAGGCTCGGGTGTCAAGATGACTTTTCTGGCCAGGGCGATCAGCTGATGAAGAGGGCCGCCTAAGTCCTCCACGTGGCGGCCATGTTGGAGAACGCCACCCTTCTTGGCAATGACTCGTCTATGGACGATGTCTCGTTCGGGGGTGTCACGGCTATCGCCACCGCCGTCACCCTCGGATTGCTCATCCTCGCCACCGTCATAGGTACGTGGTGATATTAAAAATACTTCCCAATTGCTCGTTTAATTCTAATCCCTCTGAAAAGTACGAGCGAAGTGAAGGCGTCGAGCCACGCGGCGGCCATGTTGGATGCCTAGTAAAAAATTAATTCCTCCGCCGTCGGTATTTATTACACTACGGTTTTTATTTTATTCTGGAAGAAGACTCTCTTGGGCTGGTTTTAAAAATAGTCTTGACGCCGGTTGTTGGTACTTAGGGGTGAAATGAATTTTTTCTTCCGCGCTGGTTTATGCTTCCGGGGTTAACGCTCGAATCGGGAAGCTTGGGAACCTCTTGAGATGACTTAGCTTATGGTTCTCTGATTTCAGGCAACGTGTTCGTGATAGCGGCGATATTGCTCGAGAGAAATCTCCAATCAGTGGCGAATTACTTGATCGTGAGCCTGGCTGTAGCCGACCTTATGGTCGCGTGTCTCGTGATGCCTCTGGGTGCTGTTTACGAGGTTCGTAATTTGCTATGTTTATTAAACAGCGCCGGTTACGAGGGCAATCAGGATTTCGTAGGTGCATAGGTTAAAACGTTCATCAAGTGTCAACGTACGAGAGGAACCTCCCGAGCTCGTAAAGTCTGGGGGTTCATCCCCTAAAACGCGACCTCCACCCGACACCTGAAATTACAAACCACCCCGTTGTTCTCACAATTCCACGATCTTTCTTTATTTTTTTTTCATTTTTCCCCTCCACTCGTAACGGCTGAAAAATTAAAATCGAGTTACTATTCACCGTCCCGAAAACAGCCCCTTCGAAATTCATCGCAAATTCGGGGGATTTCATTCGGAAGGTGGACGGGTAAAATTCAGAGGGTGGATAAACGTTGGGATTTTTGCACTTCGTGTTTCGCCACAGAATCTCCTGTCCAGAGGGTATGGTTGGCACTTTTTACGGAATTTTAACAATGTGCCACTGACACCCGGAATACTCCCCTGCAACGATGGGAATTTCGCGCCCTCGGCAATAGTCACTTCCGGAGATAAACTCGGCCGATTTAAGCAGGGAGTGGTTACTTTTCGCAAAATAGAGCCGCAGTCCTCGCGAGGGCCGGCTAAAAGGATTGAATTGCGGGGAATAGAAATAAACCGGCGATCCGAGCCGACGAAAACTGGGGCGGTCTCGACTGGTGAGCGAAACCCACCCCCGCATTAATGCAGCCCCGGCGGGCTGTTAAAAGGGAAGAAATAAATAAATAAACAAGTGGGAAAGGACCCTGGCGAGGGAAAATTTCCCGAAACCACGAACCCCGATTCGCGTTCAGCGCGAAGCCAAGGGGAGAAAATTTTCCCTCCCCTCGACAGGCTCCCGATTTTTCCGAATTACCACGGAGCGTTCGAACATCCTCGAAAGGGATGAGAAAGGTAAAAGGAAAGGCCTGAGAAAAAAATCGACGTTAATTTCGGGGGTTACATGACCGTGATGCGGATGTCGCTCGTCGAAGCGAAGGGTTGGTCCTTTCTTTCCTTTTCCACCCCCGAAAAGCAAGGGTTGTGTAACGCGGCGTGTAATGCGCACGCTGGGGTATGTACCCAGGTACATAAGTGCGTGGTTAAATAGGTACATGTAAGTACATTTCGTCCTTGTATCCCCGAAGGGTGTGTGCCCAGGTCGGGGGTGAGTCGGACCACGTAGCGTTAATTATTCAACGACTGCACCCCATAGGGGGAATATCCGAGTACAGGCGTTAATTCCGCTTAGGCCAGGGAAACATGTTAACTGAGCGTCCAGGAATTTCGGAAAACTGCGGAAATACTTGGATGGAATTTTTCGGGATATTAGTCTCCGGGTACAAGGGCGACATCGCGGGGGAAGGGGGTGGTATTTTCAGGGGGCAGGAAGTTGAAAAGGCCTAATACCGATCGGCTTCGATCGCACTTGACTAGGTAGCAATTTCCGAATTTCGGGAGCGCAGCTCTTTTCGAGTAAAGGAATGCCGGGGATTTCTGCCCGGGGACGTAAAAGCGGCACCGACATCAAAGGGGATTTTTCTCCCGTGGGAACCGATCGGAGGGGATCGATAATCGATAAGGGGGTGCCTATCGAAGTACTCGGGGCGCCGACTCCAAAGTGGCGAGGTGAAACCCAAAATGTGTTACGAAAATAGAGAAGGAGAAGGAAAAAGGAAAAAGGGAAGAAATTCTGCCACCTCGTCGACCCGACCGATTTTCCGCGTTCCCTTTTATCGCGCGAGCTTATCCGCGTAATTGGGGTAAAACGGGCGTAACGAGACGAGATGGGGTCGAAAGTCTCGATATAAGTCGGACAGCGGAATATATCCGCCCTTTCGATTCGAACGGGCTCGTTCACTTCCGGAATGTCGGTTTAATGCTTCCGTGACCGTTTAATGGGCAAATCGATCCTCCCTTTAATCGATGTCCCCTTAATTGGGCCGTATCACCCCCGCCGAGGGGGTGCCCCCTTTCGCGCGCTGAATCGGCCGGCAGTTCGATGATTATCGATCGGATATCGATCCCCGGGATTTCCTTCGATTTCCTTTTTCCCTCGTAAAACCTGAGCGAGAAACTATAAATCGAGACGTTAAACCGGGCAGAGTTCCGCGCCAAGAGCACGCCACCTCCCGCGTTTTCCGGATTTTCATTTTCATTTGTCCGGTAACGAGGGTGGGATCGGTTTTCAGAAAAAGTCGGAATTCACACCCCGACGCATCTTATTAATGCAAAGAATAATTCTCAACCCGATTCATATATATATCTCCGCCGAATCGATTTATTCCAATTTATTGGGCGCCTCGTTACGACGACATTATCCAGCTTTTCCGGAAGAGTGTCCAGGAGGACAAGAAATGAGAAATCGCCAATCTCGGCGGAATTCCAGGATTATCCGAGCCTTGGAAAGAGACGAGGCAAAAAGAGCCGATGAAATAATCGCTCGATACCTCGGGATTAATTAATTGGTTATCGAACTGCACGTAAGTATCGGTGTGTCGACTTTCGCGCTGGATTTCGGCTGCTCATTTTTTTTTTCGCTTTTCCTAACTTTTTCGGACCATGTCAGGATGAAGCAACGGGAGGCAGAGAATGGGGAGGTAAAACCAATTGGAAAGAGATCAAGTGGCATCGAGAAGTGATGAGGCGTTGGATTCGCAGACCAAGACCGTAAGGGAAGAGTCCCAATTAGAAGGCCATCGATTGGTGGGGGAGGGGATCGATTAAACTACTGAACCTTAGAGGAGGGATTGACTCGTAGTCCTCGCCCGTCCACAATTACACCTCACATAGAAACCTAAACAATATTTTCTTCCGACCCTCTGTATCAATAAATTGTACCGAGATATTTTCCCGAAGAAGGGCTTAGCGAGTCGAAAGAGGTCGTAATAACTGAACAAGACAGCCAGTTAGGCAATTTTTAACTACGATCCTTTCCATCCTCCTTTAACGACGAACCAAGGAGAAGGAGGAAAATGGCGTACGGCAAATAATTGGGCTACTTCTTAGCGGGTAAGTCCCGAGCCCAGCCCCCGTTGTTTACAATAAATGCGAGTTTCTCGTTTAACAAGTCGCGACAGCGAAAAGTGTCCCGGACAAAACTTGTAGCGCCGACTCCCCGGGAGAACTTTTGTATAAAGTAATTCTTCGGATCGCGCACCGCTGAGCCAGAAAATTGAAGTCACCCAGTCCAGACGAGAAGAGGTCCGTCCGTCTAGACGCGGCGAGGTCCCACCGGCGTCGAAGAATTTCCCTGGGCTTCCCAGCCCCCGGATTTCGCCGCGACGCTCAACGTCGGATTTATCGAGCCTACAATCCCTTATCAACGTCCCTAGCGCCCAGGAAGCGACCCTCGCAATCTCTACAAATTCTTATTTCCGAAAAGCCGCGTCGCCTCGGACTGGTCCATCGAGTCACGCGCGGCCATCTTGGAAGGCGCTTAAGCAACCAGCTCGGCTTTCCAAAACGAGGTAAATCGCGGATCGCTGGTCGAGCCTGAGGTCGGTTTTAATAAAACATAAGTTCCCCAGGGATCGACCTCGTTCATCCCGGAAAGCCGGGCATAGAAAGGGGGCTCTGAGGGGAGGGCCTCGAAAAGAAAGCGACGTCCCCGGCAGAGCGGCCATTGTGATAACTAAATTGATCCGTTCTCCATATCTGCCGAGGCTCGGATAAAACACGCTGGTAATATGGCCGGAGTTATATTTCACGTTAATCGATCTCCGATAGGGCCCACTATCCGGCTTATCCGTTATTTACGGCTTCGATTCTCTTTTTTTCTCGTGCCTTCCCCCACCGCGCCGACCCCCTCCGATGTACCCGCTTCAATTATCAACCGACGCCGCTTTTAATCCCAGCCTCGATTCCGATAAACCGCCGAGCGATACTTCCCCCCCTTCAACTTCCACCCTTCTACTTGTCGCGCATACTAATTGCAGCGAAATTATCGATGGAGCGTCCGACGAAATAACCTCTCCGGCGATTACCGCGTCGCGCTTCGATTTGTACTCGTCGGCGACGCCCCTGATAAGATCGAGCTCGCCCTGGGGGTGATAAATCGATCTGGTTCTCTGGCACAGTAATCGCGTACACTGTTTTATAAACAAATGGATCCTTTGTCTCGAAACGGCATGCTCGATAAGGGGGTGGAGGTGTTATCAGCGGGAGTCCCGAGATAGGTGCAATCCCACCCCTTGGCCTCCCCCTTCTTCCCCCTTTCTGGCGTACCCACCACCTTCTATTTCTTCCCTCGCCTGTAAAAAGAGGTGCGGGGTGGTATCCGTTTTATACGGATCGCGGTAATTATTTAACAAAGCCCCCAGGAGCCGTCCAATCGGGCCCCCGGTGGGGAGCCACCCCATTGGCCGTTCACCAGCCGGGAAATGGCGGCGATGAAAGCCCACGCACAATGGGGCGACTTCATTGCCCCTGGCCGGCGAAGCGTTAACGGCTTCGCCAATTGGCGCACGCGTCCGCGAAGTGCAAGCAACGCCCTGGCTAATTGCGCCTCGCGAGGATGTGCATACGGCTTAAACGGGGACGGGGATGTCCAGGGTGGGGCGTGGGGCTTATCGGGACTTCCGGGACCTCTAGGCATGCGAGCCTTAAGTCATTGTTGGATCCAACGCGCAATTAGACCGGAGCAAAATGATCCAAGGGGTAAAAAACAGAAATGAGTGGACCGCAGGGCGACATGCACCACTTGATAATTCATTTTGATCGAATTGCTCGATCTAACCTAGGATAATGTATAGGGTCAGGTTAATTTACCCGTGATGATTTACGGGAAAAAAATTCGGGATACGGGGGGGAACAAGGGAAACTGAAAAAAAGAAATGAGGGAAGGGGGAGGAAAAAAACGGAGGACCCCCGAGCGGCGGTACTTAGGTCACGTATTACCATTATAAATGGTACTCGTATAAACGGCGACAAGATACCCCGTGAAAAATGGAGGACCCTCGGGATGCTGCGAGGCCTCTCGAATTCGGCCTCCCCAGGGGCCCCCT